AGAGAAACAGGTGAAGCAAACAGGGGCGCCATCACAAACAGGAAGCCAGGGATTGGAGCGTAGAAGGGTTCTAGTAATGGGGGACTCAAACGTGGCCAGGGTTAGGGATGGCGTCTTCAAGACGGTGAAGGAAGATGGGAGAGCCAGGGTGGAGGCGCAGTCAGGAAAGAGCATGGTGGATGCACTGGCCAAAGCTCAGGAGGTTGTAGAAAACAGCATGGAGGGCGAAAATCTAGTCATTATTCATGCTGGGCTCAATGATGTGTTGAAGGGCAAGGATCAAAACCTTCAGAGAAAGTTAGAGGATGGGATGCGTAAGCTCCGAGAAGCCTCTGGGAGTGTGCATGTGACCATATGCACAGTCCCAGAGGTCTGGGGGCAGCCTCATGGCATTGTAAGGAGGGAAGTGGAGGCCAATTGTGTGATCAAGGGTTTGAGCCGGCAACTTGGATACAGCGTAATGGAAGTTAACCAAGACATGTACGAGCCCGGCGCTCGCCCCTTTGCACAGGATGGCATTCACTACAGTGGTGCGACGGGCAGGAGGGTCGGTAACAGAATGGTTCACCAAGCCATAGCTTTTTTAGGGGGACCCAGAGCCCTGACGCCAACAGTGTAGCCAAAGACGGACCTAAAGGGGCACAAATATTCAAGCCACACGAAGTCCGTGAATGAAGAAATCGACGTAACCACAAGGACTGAGCTAAGTCAGACGTAGGCTATATTAACATGCAGGGTGGCAGGAATAGGTTAAAGTGGGAAGAGATAGAGGAGCAGTTGAGGCAGGAGGAGCTGATGGTATATGGGGTTGTGGAGACACATCTTCGGGACCTGGAGCAACCACCCTGCAATCCGGACTACATATGGGAATATTGCAATAGAACAGAAGGCAGCAAAAAGGGGGGTGGAATTGGTGCATTTATACATAAGAGCATGGATTGGCAAAGAGTCAAGCAGGGATGCAAGGAACATTTGTGGCTAAAAGGGAAAGTGGCAGGGCAAATGGCACTCCTTGGTTTCGTGTACTTGTGGACGGGAGCAAAGGCCAGAGAGGAAAACCAGGCAATGGTAGAGTGTATATCAAATGACATTCAGGAGTTAGGAGGAGAATGCGAGATAATTATGCTAGGAGATATGAATGTGCACATAGAGGATATCGATGGGTATACTGACTCAACAGGCAAAATGATCATGGATATGTGTAAAAGGCATCATTTGATCATTTGCAATAGTACCGAGAAGTGTGAAGGGCAAATAACATGGGAGGTAGGAAGGCTGCGGTCGACGATAGATTACGCACTGATGTCACATAGTATGTATGATAAGCTCAGGGGAATGCACATAGATGAAGGTGGCTCCAGAAGTCTGGGTAGTGATCAGAAACGTATCAAGCGAAGTTTTGGAAGAGCAGCGAAAGTGGGAAGGAGACAAGATGTGCAGCTACAGGAAAATTTTCATTCAGAAAGGCAAATAGAAATTGCTACTAAACAAATTGAGAAAGTAATCACTGAGGATAATAAAACTTTGTGGACATACACAAATCTAATTAGACTGTTTGGGATAGAGCTTGCTAAAGCACGTGACAATCAACCCGGAAAAGAAGACACAAGCCCAAGAGCTCATGGGATGAGGTAGTTAAGAGAGCCATAGCAAAACGTCGGGAAGCCTCTAGGGAACACAGACATGCAAAGCAATGGGGTGAACCGACAGATGATGTTGAAAGAAAATGGGAAATCTTTCTAAGCTCTAGAAGAGAAGCATCCCTCCTGATCAATCAAAAGATTAGAAGAAAGGTTGCTCTGTGGCTGGCAGAAGCACATAAAAAGGAAAGAAAGGCAGCTGCGAAATTTTGGAACCATCTAAACTCCCTGAGAAATGAAACAAACTTAGAGCAGAGGTTTATAACTACAGCTCAATATCTAGGCTAGAAGGGGACGAAGCTATTGAATATATAAGAACAAAGGTGACTGAAAATTTTCAACAAAGAAGTGCCTTATGCACCACAATAGACAGGGATGGATCAAGTGGCACAATGGCTCCATTTTCACAACGAGAGTGGGAAAGGGCTGAGAAGAGGGTTCCAAGTAGTACATCAACAGGCCCAGATTGCATTCCAATTATGCTGATAAAGACATTGGGTCCGAAGTTTAAACAGATTTTGAGAGAGGCAGTGAGCAGAACAATAATCGATGGTGAAGTCCCTGATGGATGGAAACTCAGCAGTATGAGCATGATTTATATAGGAAAGGGGACAAAGCTGACATAAACAACTACCATCCTATAACAGTGACATCAGTGGTCTACGGGCTGGCGATGCAGATTATAAAGGAAAGACTGCAGGCATGGATAAAGGATGAGGGGGTGCTGGGGGAACTGCAAAATGGGTTTCGAAAACACAGGAGGTTGGAAGACAATCTGTTCTCACTGACGCAGTGCATCGAAATAGCAGAAAAGGAGCACAGGCCCCCGTGGCTGGCTTTTGTGGATATCAAGGGAGCCTACGATAGCGTGGTTCAAAAGGAATTGTGGGGAATACTGGACACACTAGGCGTGGAACATGTAGTCACTAATCTTTTAAAGGATATCTATAAAGGTAACAAGGTAGTTATAAAGTGGGAAAAACAGCTATCCAAGCCCACAGAAGTAAAACGAGGGCTTAGGCAGGGGTGTCCTCTGTCTCCCTTGTTATTCATGATGTACCTAGAAGGATTAGAGGCCAAATTAGAGGGAAGTGGACTTGGCTTCAACCTCTCTTTAGTCAAACAAGGAAAACTGATTGATCAGGCACTACCAGCATAAATGTACGCAGATGATATAGTGTTAATGGCCGACAACAAGGAAGATTTGCAGAGATTTATGGACATCTGCGGTAATGACGGGAGATAGGTTAGATTTTAGATTCAGTAAGGAAAAATCAACAGTCAATATTTTTAATGATGACGTGGGAGTCGCCCGCTGCGTGCTGACGCGCGCCTTGCAGGACCTCAATAAAGTTTCGCAAGCAACCAACCAACCAACCAACGAAAGTAGTGAGCTTAGAATATAGGAGGTCACGCTAGAGAAAACAGATAAATACAAATATCTGGGCGTATAGATAAGTAATGGGACAGAGTACCTAAGGAAACACGAAATATACGTGACGACTAAAGGTAACAGGAATGCAGCAGTGATGAAAAGTAGGGCACTGTGAAATTACAATAGGTATGATGTTGTGAGAGGAATATAGAAAGGGCTGACGTTCGGCAATGCGGTCTTGTGCATGAGATCAGAAGTTCAAGCAAGATCAGAAATTAAGCAACGTGGGATAGGTAGGCTTGCTTTAGGAGCTCACGGGAATACAATAAATCAGGGAGTTCAAGGTGATATGGGATGGACATCATTTGAGGGCAGGGAAGCTAGCAGCAAGATAAAATTTGAGAAACGATTGAGAGAAATGGGGGAAGAGCGTTGGGCTAGGAAGGTTTTCAGCTACTTGTACATGAAGAATGTCGATACAAAATGGAGGAAGCGAACCAGGAAAATGACTGGTAAATACTTAGAAAAACAGCAGGTGGCCAAACCAAAGAGAACTATCGGTTAAGAAGAAAGTGAAGGAAACGGAGACTGACATGTGGAGAACTGGCATGATTAAGAAGTCCGCACTAGAGATCTATCGAACTTTTAAGCAGGAAATTGCCAAGGAAAGGATCTATGATAATACTCGGGGTAGTTCTCTACTGTTTGAGGCCAGGATGGGAGTATTGCGAATCAAGACATATCGGGCCAAATACGAAAGGGTAGACACAGTATGCAGTGCGTGTGGAGAGGAAGAAGAAACTGCGGAACACTTGATAATGTTCTGTAAAGGGCTTCACCCTATAGTTCAGGATGATGGCGCAGAGTTTTTCAAAGCACTGCGGTTTAGGGACAGGGAGGGCAAAAATAGACTTTAAGCGGGTAGACTTAACTAGAAGGAGGTCATCTGATTGGTGGCTAAAGTCAAGGCACGAGTGAAAATTAAACCCTTCACTGTAATGTACGAATCCTCAACCTCACTATTTAAAGGAAAAAAAAAATAAATGTAATTGTTAGTTCATTAAGTATTGCGGCTAGGTGGCGTTAGCCGCCGCCTGATCTGAAGGGTACAGCTTTATCGATCCATCCATCTATCCAACTGTCTTAGGTGTACGAGCAGTGTGGCAATTTGGGCTAGTTGGTATGACATGACTATCGTCAGGATATATTAGTGCATGCCGCATAAGCAGCGTCGGGAAACGCCAGTGCAGACCGTACAGTAGGTGTTCTGTGGTAGGTGTTTTGTGGTACAGTCGAGTTTTCCAATGCGACCACAGCCGGAGAACACAGCCTAGCGCACAAAAAAAAAAAAAAAGCAGTTATGAAACAGGGGGTTTCAAAATGGAACTCAATGCGCGCATCTCCCCCCTGTACTAGGGGATGAATTTTTGGCCGGGCTGGCCTTGTCGTGTGCGCGTCTTTTTGCGTTCACTTTATGGCCTTAGAGAGTTTTTGAATGGCCCCAGTGATCCATCCATCCATTAATGTGGTGCTACATGTTACAAAAAGTCACGCGAAATATGAAGTTAAGAAGAAGAAATTTGACAGCGAGCGTACTGGGATTTGACCAGCGGCTACCCAGTACGCTTGCTGTCAAATTGTTTTTTTACTCCCTATATCGCGTGAGTTTTTGTAACAGCCTGTAGATATTGAAGCTAGGTATAAAAAGAAGCAAACCAATATTTTGTACAAGTAAAACTAAGAATAAAAAAGAACTTTCAATCCACAGCTGTCATTGAAACCTGGGTCTTTTGCGCGGAAAGTGAACATTCTTTCTTGACCACTTTTACAGAGCCGTGCGCACCTCTTGAAAAGAGGACACATTGCAGACTACCGATCGCAGCGCCACAACCGGATTGACCCTGTTTGGGTTTCACTTTTCAGAATTCGATCCAGGCACTCCCCTGTTCTAGTACACTCTAATCACAACCAAGCACAGCTTCGGGAAAATGGCGGACAGGCGTCAGCCCGCGCGCGATCGGCGTAGTGAGCGAGTTGAGCGAGCAGCGGACGATGAAGACAGTAGCGGCAGTAGCAGCAGTTCGGAAGGGCAGAGTGACACCGGTTCTAACTCCAACTCACTTAATGCGTTTGCTAACGACGGTGGCTTTCTCGAGAGATTCAAGCAAATGCAGGAAGCCTGTAAGCTGCAAGCCGCTTCGCAGGAAGCGCCTCAGTTCGCTGTCCCGCGGTCCGACAGCGCCGACACCACTTCGGCGAGCAGCGAGAAAAGCGAACCCACCGAAGCGGACGCAGCCGCTACAGCCAAGAAACGGGCTCTCCCATTCGTAAGATGGTGCACTCATCACAGAGTGCGTTTTCTCACCGTCGTCAGAAAGACATGAATCGTTGCATCAATTCGTCCGATGCTAGGTTGTGTAGTATCTTTAACGGAGCGAAAAACTGCGGATGCACACGTTGTTCAAGACAGATGTTGTTTTCTTGTCGATAATTCAAGAGCGCCTTCTTACCCGGAAGTCTCATTTTCGGTGGAAGTGAAAATGCTCTACACTCGCCTGCTTAGATTTAGGTGCGCGGTGAATTACCTCGGGTGGTCAAAAATTTGCAGAGCCCTCTACTACGAAATCTCTCATAATCATACCATGGTGTTGGGATGTAATGCCACATGAATCAGTATAGCTTTAACAACAGAGAGTCTGTGCAAAACCGACATTTGAAACATGAGACGTTCATTCTTCTCAATGTTCATAACGCGGAACGTGCGCCGCCAGTTCCGTGGAGGTATGATTATGCCGTTGTGCAGATTAACGATGTTCACTTCTTTTTTTTTATTGTAGCTTTGTAGAACTGGCTCATAACCCCGAAAATTGGCGACAAAACTCGGTTATAAAAGAAAATGTGAACCTTCGTTCAATCGAAAGGAGAAAATAATTAAATGCGAAGTAAATAGGCAAAGAGGCAAACGAGTTCAGAAAACCATAAGAAATTGATAAACAAAAGTTAGTTTTTTTTGTCAGTAGCTCTAGCTTCGAATCTTACGGTTGCTTGGATAAGCTTGCGCAACACTGTCATAATTGCACCAAACTCCTAAAAATAACACCGTCTCCTAACAATAACAGGTTAGGAGTATTTGATGGTAAACCCGGCCTGCTGGACTACATCTTTAAAAACATTCTACAGAGTGAGGCCAAACAGCATCACTGAAATTCTAGACATTGCTCTCTCCTTTTTTTATGTGCATGCAATCCGCAGCCATAACTTTGGGCTGAGCCGTGTAGGAAAAAATGAAACGCTGTTCACTTATACTGTGGCAAAATGGTATTTGGTTTAGATCTTGATTCTCATGTATCTAATGTCCTAGTACTTACTTCCTTTAGGTGGGTAAAAGAAGGGGTGGAAAAGTTCTAAAGACGGGAGTTGTCCACAAGCCGAAGGTTGAAGATGAGGTAAGCTCTAGCTGCAGGTGATCTCTTGCTTTTTCTGTGGCCATTTATGTGAAGTTTCAATGTCCCAACAAGAAGAGTGGGGCCTTGTGTGTGTGATTGTTGTAAAATGGTGAACTACTATACTTTGAGATGATTTATCTTGGCAGCACTGTGGAAGCTACAGAACTAAAGTGCAGGCCTGATACTGTGCCGAAAAATAGTACTCAAGTTTACTAATAACTTGCTTATTTTGCCTTGCTGAAATAAATACTCTTTTATTTATTGCGAGACTTGAACAGCAGGGGAAAGTGGTATTTAAAATACTGTTATCGTTCACTTTATACGTGTGCCTTTAGAGCACGAACTTCTCAGAAGCATGCTCATTCTCAAAAGTAAACAGTGCCGTCCATGACATATTAGGTCAGTGTGTGGCCGCAAACACACACACACACATATATCGAGCATCGAAGCTCGCAGTTTCGGTTCCTGCCCACGGCAAGTTATCTTTTCACCCACTTTTCTGTCTTCACATTTGCATTGCGATTCGGTCTAGTAACTTCGTCTATACTTTTCTTGGCATTGTTGGTTGTTATGTCTCATTATTATTGTGCCAAAACACGGAAAATTGAGCCCTTAAGTATACACTTCTTTCCCCTATTCATTAACGAGGGTTTCGTACTGGCAGACTTGGTGCCTTAGGTTGTATACGAGGGACTATTGGTCAGCTGCCAGCCCGTAATAAGATCACATGCTACGGGAAGCCACACAGGCTCTTGAAGAGTGTGCCTCACTCGCCGCCATGGCTACGAATGGCGCTGACTGAGACACTCCCACGTTCAAATTTACTTATATACCAAATAAAGTGGCTTGGAGGATAGCTGCCATAGTAGCTCGGTGGTAGAGCATCGAACACGTCATTCGAAGGTCGCAGGTTCGGTTCCTGCTCACGGCAAGTTATCTTTTCACCCACTTTTCTTTCTTCACATTTGCATTACAATTCGGTCTCATAACTTCCCCTATACTTTTCTTGGCATTATTATCTGCTACATCACATTAATACTGTGTCAAAACACGGAAAAACGAGCCCATAAGTGTACACTTCTTTCCCATATATATATATATATATACATTTACTTACACATACACACACTCGTAATACGACACTCACATGTGCACTCAACACTCTAAATGCACTCCCATTTACATTTATCATAAATGTATATAATTTCCTTTTAAAAAATGCGAGTTAGTAAAACATAAATCAGCTGCAAGCTGCCGTTCTACTTGCAGAGCAACACAAATGTGGGAAGCCCTGCCTCGTAGCCTTCAATCCAATGCCAAGTCGAGCATAGTGGAATCTTATGGCATTGTGGCTACATCGAAAAACTACAAAATGGAGTCATTCCACGCCAGCTGTCCCAACCTTGGAGCTCGACCATCTCGGATTTGCTTCAAAGAAATTCACAAATATCTACCTAAAGCCAAAAGTGTTTCCCCAAAACATTTTCTGCGAAAAAAGTTTTCCAGTATCGTAAGCCTCATCTGAATTTTTCGGGAAAGTTTAAAAGCATAGCTCGTAAAACACGTGAAAAAATTAGCTCTTTTTACAATAGGTTAAAACAAACTTTTATCTTTAGACCAATGGTGGGCATCTAAAATAAGTTTTACGCTTTCGTGGATTTTAGTGTGGCCTCGAATATAGAGAATCTCGCCCATATTGGGTTTTCTTTTTTCACAGAAAGAGAACATTAGGGGGTAGTTGACATTAGCATATTGCCAGAATGTTTTACTTAAGACTAAAAATTATTTCAGGTTTATACAGTGTGAAAAAAACTGTACAGGTGGCGACAAAGTTGTGAAAGTATTCATTTTGGCACATGCTCAGCTGTGAATTCGATATTGTGGCAGTCCTACTAAAAATATGCTCAGTAGAAGATTTAGTAGCAACCTTCCCTGGCTGCTCATTCAGAAAGCTTTATCAAATTCATTTTCGCTTTAGGCGAGAAAAATGTTTTTGAATTTGTGTGTTACTGCACTCGGGGTTTGGACGTGTTTATAGCCTTAACAATGCGCCCTAACAGTAAGTACGAGCTGCACGGACGTGGAAACCATCTGGACAGTGTAATCAATTTTGTCTGCACGTAGTATTTAAGTTATTTACAAGCTAGTATTACCCTTAGTGTAAGAAAAGCGCGAGACCTACTGGACAGCATTTAGCCACGTGCAGCTGTTCGTTGGCAGCCTGCGTATAGATATGCTTACGCACATTCCAAATGATGTAAGAATAACTGTTTATTGGGGCTAACTTGTGCCGGAAAAGTAAAGGAAAATGTAGCGGCGTTTCTAACTGCCGATCAGCAAAAGGAATCAATCTCCGAGAAGCCCTCGAGCGGTGCACCACTTCTTTTTCATCGAAATCCCGTGCTGAGGAGGCGGGCCCCGTCACGGCCTTTTCTTGTCTCATCATCGGGCCGCTGGTCTCTTGTGGAGTGCATGAACTAGCACGCGTAGTTTGAATACTGTGTCTGCCTTGCGTCAATATGCTTACGCAGCACCGGGAAACAGTACCGATCTGTGGAACACACTGGTTACCTGTATGCTAACATATAGAAGTAGGAAAAGCAAGATGAAGGAACCGATCAATTGAAGTGAGAGAAACAAGAATCGCCAGGCCTGTGCGGAATGCGTAGCACAGTCAGAGTGAAAGCTAGAAAAGTGGCCTTTCGGAGCCTTTTCTAAACATTCTTTTGGATGCTACAAGCACACCGCTGGATATTCGCTACGCCATAAATTATCTTAAATTTTGTGTAGTAGGCCAGCATTCGCGCTCTGCTATCCTTCCTCATTCTTTGGATAAGAATGGTATCTGCTGCACACTTGTTAGGAATTTCGTGCAATTTTTTATAGAGTGGCTGACGAGGATGAAGAAATATGCCTTAAGTGGGTATGCACCATAGGTAATATGTGTCAAGAACAAGTTTTCTAATTGCTTGGAGCATCGGACAACCCACTCATTGTGCAATTTGCATTGTGTTATGCCTGGCTGTTCGTTTGATGTTCTCTTGGGTGCACGTTAAAGAACCCGAGGTGGTCGAAATTTCCGGAGCCCTCCACTACGGCGTCTCTCATAATCATATGGTGGTTTTGGGACGTTAAACCCCACATATCAATCAATCAAATCGTTTGATGTTCTAAAATGCTTCATTGCTCATAATAACACTATTCGCCTCTTGACATCAAGCCTGCCTAAGGCCAGTTTAGAAACGAGTTCCAAGCACTGGCCTAGCTCAGCGGTCAATAAGGACAAAAAAAAAAAAAAAAAAAAAAGGCCTGGCTCAGTGGTAGAATACTGGGGTAGCATGCAGCAGACCCGGGTTCAAATCCCATTGTGTCTTTAATGTTTTTCATTTACTGGCTTTTTTTTCGTCCTATACTGGTTATAGACACCTGCGGCGGAAAACTGCGGCATCGCGCGTTACCCGCGTTCTGATCTCGTAACAGTTTTCGCTGTAAAAAAAGGATGTGCTACTTGGCAGCTAAGTTGCAGTTATGCATCAACATAGGATCACTGGTTTAAAATGGTCAATTATGTACGATTATGTTGGTCCTAACTGTGACTTGTCTGCGATGCAAAACATTTTTATTTTATTTCTACATAGAACATTATCTTAATCGTACTGCTCTCTCTAATTCGTAGTGCTCATCCTCTTAAAATAAACATGTTTTGCATCGCGGACAAGTCACAGTTAGGACCAACATAATCGTACATAATTGACCATTTTACACCAGTGATTGTATGTTGATGCATAACTGCAACTTACCTGCCAAGCTGCACATCCTTTTTTTGTTTTCACTTGGATTGATCCTTTCCTTCATGTGATCTTCCTACTTCTAAATGTTAGCATATAGGTAAGCTGTGTGTTGCACACATCAGTACCACATCGCGGTGCTGCGAAAGCATATCTATACGCAGGCTGCCAACGAACAGCTGCACGTGGCTAAATGCTGTCTAGTAGGTCTCGCGCTTTTCTTTAACTAAGGGTAATACTACGTGCAGACAAAATTGATTACATTGTCCAGATGGTTTCCACGTCCATGCAGCTCGTACTTACTGTTAGGGCGCATTGTTAAGGCTATAAACACGTCCAAACCCCGAGTGCAGTAATACACAAATTCAAAAACATTTTTCTCGCCTAAAGCGAAAATGAATTTGATAAAGCTTTCTGAATGAGCAGCCAGGGAAGGTTGCTACTAAATCTTCTACTGAGCATATTTTTAGTAGGACTGCCCCAATATTGAGTTCACTGCTGAGCATGTGCCAAAATAAACATTTTTGTAACTTTGTTGCCACCTGTAAAGTTTATTTCACACTGTATATGCCTGAAATAATTTTTGGTCTTCAGTAAAACATTCTGTCAATGTGCTAATGTGAACTATACCCTAATGCTATTTTTCTGTGAAAAAATCGCCAATATGGACCAGATTTAACAAAGTGTTTGATTGGGCTGGTTGGTGCTGCATAGTAGACGAAGACAGTGCTTAACAGCGCAAACGACAAGAGGGCATAGAAGAGATGAGAACAGCGCTGTTCTCGTCTCTTTTATCCCTTCCTGTTGTTTGCGCTGTTAAGCACTTTCTTCGTCTACCATGGACCAGATTTCCCATATTCGAGGTCACATAAAAATGTGTGAAAAAGTAAAAGCCCGTAAAACTTATTTAAGTAAAACATCTATTGTTTTAAAATTAAAAATTTGTCTTTAAAAAACGAACGGATTTTTCAATGTATTTTACGAGCTATGGTTTCGACCTTTCCAAAAAAGTTCGAATGACACTTGCAGGGCTGAAAATTTTTTCGAAAAAAATGTTTTAGGGAAACACTTTTGGCTTTAGGTAGATTCTTCTGAATTTATTTCAAGTAAATTGAAGATGATCTAGCGCCAAGGTTGGAACAGTTGGCGTGGAATGACCGAGTGAAGACCTGTAGAAATGACTTTCTGGGTAACAAATAAGGGCTAATCTTAAGGGAAGGCTAACCATAAGCACAGAAAGTAATCGAATGAGCCGGAGGAATGTCATTATTTTAAGTCTGCCTCGGTGCTAGTTGCTGCTGAGACATCAGCGAAGGGATTCTGGGCACAATTCAACAGCAATATCCTAAATTTGTGTCTGGGTTACCACAGCTTGTGGAGCAATACATAAGGTACAGTCTCACACTGTTCTAGCACAAATATCAGCAGTCAACCTTGTCCACACCAAAACATCAGTAGTTTTAAATGGGAGGAGGTATAGAAAATGTGATTTAAAACTGAGGCCAACTTAAAATAAGCTCTTAACAAGAGATGCTACTAAAAAAACACAAGTTTTTTCCGAAATTGCATTTTTTTCATTTTTACTTGCGTTCACACGCTCAGTTTCTCTATGAGGAAAAAAAAAGATTAAGGCTTTAATTTATTTGAAGTACGTTAAAATCACTTTTAAAGAGCACAAGGTGCCTTTAAAAAACAACAGATAGCTCATTGTCGAGAGTCCCCTGAAAATTGTCCCCAGGTTGCTTGCCATTGCATTTCGCATCAGGAGTTCACCAAAGCAACGTGCTAAAAAATAACCGCGATTCCTAAGCTCTCATGAAATCAAAAGCACGTCTCTGCCACATAGATGGGCTTTTTATAAAACATGTTTCTCTAGATGCAATTTGGGGTAACTTCCCGAGTTTGGACATCATGTTTTAGTACTTTTGTTGGTCCGATTGGGATGAAATTTTTCCCACGTGAAGAGTGCAGTTATCTCCTCTAAAGCGTGATATCGTTTATAAGATTGCTATGAACTTAAAATGTGGAGCAATATCAGCCTTAATGGCTCGAAACCAGAAAAGTTTAGTAGCAAAAAAGGTGTGTACAAAAAGAGCTACACCTTACTCACTTTCGTAGTACAAAACAAAAACTAAGCAATTTGCTATGAAACTTATTACATAATTATTTAACATCACCTTTTTGAACAGCAAGAGTATCACTGCCCTAAGCTACAGAATAAAGAAACTTTTTTATGTAACATTTCCCCTAAAGCTCAGCTTTTGTTTGCACAACAGTATATAGCCCTCTATCCCCAGGTGCAATGTGTTGTGACAGGTACAGGAAACCTTACTCTCGCTAGTGTGTTATGCAACACCAGGGGTGAGTTGCACATCACAACACAATGATATAATGATATAAATAAACACTCTCCAGCCACATATAGTGCTTGGTTTGTAATATTACTAACTGTCTGTACGTTTCAAGGCCCATTCGGTTCCTTCATCAGGAATGACTGTTCGGCCGACTGTGAAGCTAGCACGTTTGTTTTTAGGGGTTGTCTCCCTCTCCACCATCGTTCTTCTCCCCATTTTGTTACTGCATTGTTTTCCTCATTGGTTCTGCAGACCCTGTACATACCTGGCCAAGAGCGTCGCAGTTGACTGGTTAATTTTTCCAGGTGTTTGGATATGCCTAGATTCTAAGAATTGCCTCTTGACTCATGCTTAGCATTACATCTTCATCCCGATCAATGATTAAACAAAAACCCGTGTGGTAGCTGTAGTAGTTAGTGGTAATCAAAAAAAGTGGTGTGAGAGCCAGAAAGCACGACTGATTGGACTGACTAAAGGGAAACGCAATTTTTCTTTGGGTGAGCCGGAAAGTTCGTGTCACTGCCAGGTGAGGCAGGTGTGCGCTGCAGATCTATTTTTGTTTCGGATGGATGCTGTGAACGAGGCCAGTGCTTCAGCTAAGGTCGCCACCCTACATGGTGTTAATGCTGTGGCACTTCTTTTATTGGAAATGCGCTGCATGGACTGAACAGGTAGCAATGACGTTGTAGGAGCTAGTATGGAGGCCGTGGTGAGGAGGAATTACTTAGAGGGCAGCACCAGCTGGCCAAGCAAGAACACTGTGAGAGAGAAGTGGGAGATATGTGTTTGTAAAGCATCCAGACTGCATGTGACCATGGCGCAGTGAATAGTGTGCCCAGCTTCTGTTGCGTAACGAGAGGTTGTTGGTTCAACTTCGCTTGAAGAAACTCTGTTTTCTTTGCCACCAGACTGTGCCAATTTTTTCGGCGTCATTTCTGTGACGGAAATATGTGTGACGAAAAGTCTTGGTGGACCCCGGTTCAAAACACTTTCGTGTTGAAATGGTGGATTACAAGGTGGAAGCCATCTGGTTTGCAGGAGGAGCTTCCTAAGGATGCCTGGTCAAGGTACTTGGCCGAAGTGCGCAAATACCGAGAACGCTCATGCGACGATGAAGAGAAGACCCGGCCGCTCGTCAAGTGATGAACGAAACGAGTAATGGAGTGGGACATTGCAACGCCCATGGATCCACTTGCCTACACATGCTGCGCTTCAACTGCACAGGCACTCTTCTTAATGGCTGCCATCAATACCTCCTATTGCTGAGTTGAAGGATGTATGTCGAGTAAAGTTAACAAATCTGCTATGCAGCCTATTGCTGTCAGCAGTCTAGCAATGTCTCATGTAATTCGGCTGGAAAAACATATCGATGGTTGACAGTGCAATGTACCACATATTTATACTGTACATATATTACTGTAATAAAATTTGATGATGGGTGAGCAGCGTACATTAGCAGAGCTTTGTAGTCTGTCTGGTTTTCCACTAATGCAAAGGCGTAGAGTAATACCGAATAGCATGTGCTGTAGCCACCACCACGTCAAGTGGCACTATCTATAGAGGGGGGCAAGAAACACATAATCCTGAGATTCTAGGAGTGCCAATCGCTATGCCCACAGCATTCATTTGAGTATGTCACTCGAAAACGGTGCCAAAACTATGCCTTACTGTCAGAGCATCAAGACATGAATTCAAAGTAAAATTAAAGGCATCTGCTTGAAACTAGCAAGCTACAGTGCACACGATGGCCACTTGATTGATTCAAGGTTGATGGCAACCGATTTCGGCGGTGCGGCTACGCAATGCATTATTTATAGTAGTTGTGTTCCGGACAGACTAAAAACCTCTAGTGACAGTGTAAGTTCAAGAAGTTTGCTTGCATAGGGAAAGTCAAGATTCTGTCTGCATTTTTGGTAGTTATGCGTGAATCGACAATACTGAACTGAAAGAAGCAATACTAGATATTTAGCCAATATGCCAATGTAATTTAGAAACTGTAGAACAGATTCAAATTCATAATGTAGGGCAAAAAATGACAAAATGGACACAAAAAACAACACGCCACTAGCGCTTGTAGTGTGTTGTTATTTGAGTCTGTCTTGTTTTTAGCGCTGCGTTAAAAATTTGACCCGGCACCAATTAGCCCAGGAACAAGTCCTTCTGCCGAACAGTTTGATATTGACTTTTATGGGGCAGGTTGTAGCACAGAATTTATTGAAATTGAGCATCTGTTTCATTTAGTATGTGAAATTCAATTTTCTTCATTTGAGTATATAGGCCTTTGTAAATTTTTTAAATCTTTAATTCTGAGAGAGTGCATGTTGCGTTACAACAGGTGCTGGCAACGTCCCATTTCAAATGGACTGAGCTGTCTTGAAACAGAACTTCTTTAAATATATGCAGTTAGACATTCTAGAGATTGCAGAAAAAGCTGGAGGCATTGTTCCAAATAAATCAGAAGTGAGCTGTCTTACTTGATAAATAAAATTTCATCGGATATTCATGGCTGGACATCCTAGAGACTGCTTTTTGGTGAGAAGGTGTATGTAGGGAATGTAGCACAGCAGTTTTCATGATTTCCTGTGCAATTCTTCTCTCTATTTTCACTCCTTCCCAAATGCTGATTGTGTTGCGTCACAGTGAATGCTTATAGCATGAAGCTCATGCTGTATGAGGCTTTGGTTTTTCAAACTGTGTTCAGGCACTTGTGGTTGACCTTTTTTTTTCCCCACAAATTATTAGTCTGGCTGACATTTCTTTTTTAAGAGGGAGAAGGAGGCTCCTAAAAATGGTCTAGCATGTGCTCAGCTTGGTAACTGTGGTTCTCAATTTCTTGCAGGTTTAATTTATCATTAAATGGTACTTTGCTTTCTGTAATTTTTTTGTGTAATGCTGTCTGGCTCAACTTGATTTTTTAGGTAAATTGTCAAGGTCTTCTGTGAACACGCACAACCATTCTTACGTCATTTTGCAGTGTAAAAGAAAATAAATTTGACAGTGACTAGAATTTAGGATAGTGCTTGGTGCGGAAGGTAGTTAAAGAAAGATGCGACTTGACATGTGCTTAATTATGTAATGTTCCGAACGGCTTGCCCAAGGCAATAACTGTCAATTTGGTGGTTAGTGTAATTGTTTGTATTCATGTTGCAATCATTGTAATTGCAGCAACAATTTCAGTGTTATCTCTTGTAGCGGTTCAGGTTTGTAAAAGCAACTATATTATTGCACTAGCTTTGGCCAGCTTTTCATTATAGCTTTCTAAATACTGGCAATTGAGCTATCTATATTTTTGAACAAGTTAAATGGAACAGAGGTTGGGCATGGTCTGCGGAGAAAGTCGCTAGATTCAATCTCTGGGAGAACATATGAGAATATTTGTAGGCCTGCATCAAATACACGCCCCGTAATACTGTTTAGACGCTGAGCTGGTAAAGCATGTTAACTTCATCCTAAACATTCAACTTAGCAGTGCCTGTTCTTTATCTGCGATCAAATCTTTGCATCTGCACTGGCAGCTGCAAACTGCAGGTGAAAGTTTACCTAACCAATGGGGATCATACTGGGCACATGAACTTCCAAGATTAGCACATCTAGGCAGTTTAAGTGCTTTTGTTTTGGAACCATGGGAAGATTGGGCACTTCCAGCTGAAAATCACAAGTTCAGTGTGGTCACATTTTGAATGGGTAAATAAGAATTTTTGGCAGTACGAGTGAGGATCTTGGGCAGCGTATCCTTTTTTGTATTTCAACTCGTTAAGCAGTTAAAGCATACCAGAGCAGCAACCTACCAAAAAGTATTCTGAAAGCTGTTTCAGCAATGCCTGTTTTTAACTCGCATGACCCACTAGCAGTTATGCCTTGAGAAAACCTGTGAGAAAACACAATTTTTACTTTTTGTGTAGAGTTAATTTTGAGGAAAATGAGTGAAATTTTATTTGAGGCAAATTAGTTGTTAATAAAAAATAATTACAGGTATAGCTCAGTGTAACTTTATTATAACATGTTAGGTATGTAGTATTTTATGAATATTTGACAAGTTTATAGTCTTTTTTGAAACATTCATAGTATCAAATATGATTTAGTGGGCATTACAGGGATGCTGACATTGCCAGAAATATTAAGAAAATTAGCACTAGACTTGATTGACCAATTGAAAAGGCATTATTCGCAGACTAATCTCCAGCAGGGCCACAAAACAATGCACACGTGATTACTTTGATTTAAGTTTAGTTTGTCAATAAGGGCACTGGTACTGATCAGCAGGACTAGTTTGATGTGTATGGACTGTACAGTACTCATCATTTCTTTAGTGTAACCACTGAGTGTGCATAAATACTCGCTGTAACCACATCATGTGGTAAAGAAACGATAATGTTCACTCGTATCTATGCATTTGAGGTGAAATCACTCTGATATGATCCATAGTGAGTACGGTGGAAACGAAAATATCTGCGCTACTTAGCCCTAAATGCTTCTTTTTAATCTGCGACTACTGCACATGTGATGCTTGCTAAAATTTTTAAATCGAATGCATTAAACATTCGGTATGAGTAAACGATTCAGTGTTTCTGGTGTGCTGAATGCAACTTTCGTAAAACAGCACTTGCTGTGTACACATGTTGTGTGCAAATGAGTGCTATGTCTATGGCATGCTTGTTATCGTTATACTTGTATGTCTCGAGATACCCAGTTTGAATGTACAGGATCAATAAAAGCTCTACTTATAAGATGCCACTGAAATACCTTTATTATGTCTTGCTGTGGCTACAGCTGCTTGCTATTGGTGCCCTATATTGAAATACAACCCAAGAAAACAAAAAGTGACTTTCTGCTGTCAAGCGTTGCTGTGTCATCCTGTCATTAAGGCGTTCTGCCTTCGCACCGCGCTTGCAAAGGAATAAAGAAAGCGTGATCTGCCGTGTTGATGGACCTCAAGCAAAATGGCTGCCACCTCGGTTCGCAACTACCATAAACTTTTTCAAGTGTTTTATCCTAATGGGAACATGAAAAAACATTGAACTAGAATTTTATCTTCGATAAAAATAAAGGCTTCCAGAGGAACTGCTTTACCATGCAGACACACGCATAGAAGTTTGGGTCAAAGTGCTGCTTGTAGGTTCAATGCAGTCTGCTGAGACGTCATGATGACATGGCAACTGCATTAGTTGGATGGGGGTCCTTTGATGGAGAAAAGCCGCTTTTTCAGGGGCGGAGCTCCTTAGGCAGTGGGTCGTTTCCTCCTCTGTAGTAGTAGCATGTAGCCACCTTTAGTTTATGAGTTGCTCAATAGATGATGTGTGTATACGTCCTTGGTAATAATATAACTTGATGGTGTTAGTGATTTTCACAGCATATCCACAGACTGAATGATGATGAGTGGGGCGAAGCGTCCGTCTGTGCATGCTTCCTTCCGTCTTTCCGTCAGGATGCAAGGACCAACGCTTTGCCCTACTCATCGTCATACACTTTATGGATAGGCTGTGATTTTTTCTTGAGTTGGATTTTTAAAAAGTACACTGTGAGCAGTTGAACAGAAGCAGGGAAATCTTGACAAGCTTGAATGTACGCAGCCTTTTAAAATGTGATCACTGTGATGGTTTTAGTGAAGAGACAAGAAAAAACACCAAGAGGAAGGTGACACTCCTGATATTCATACCAGTACTGGGTCAGTTTATTGTTTTTTTTTTGTCCCTTGAACTTATCCAGCAGTGGTTCTGAAATAATGTGTATGCCTTGCTCAAAGGGGCCCTGAAATGCTTTTTGAAGTAACCACGAAACGAATTCACTGGAAAAAGCTTATTGCCTCACGAATTGAACGCCTAAAAAATTTGAAGAATTCGTCCAGTGCGAGTGGAGTAACAAAGGTTTGTAGCATGCTGCAATTGCATTCTCTCTCATTTCTCGTCCGGACGAAAGCACTGGAAGCTGAGCAGGGAGGGATGGCAGGGCCACAGAAAAACGTCGCACGTGCCTCTTGGCCTTGAGCACTTTTTTTTTCTTTGGAGTGTCGCTTTTTCAATGTAATCACACGCGCACGCGTGGTGAAGTTGCGGCCTCACACGATGATCTCCGTAACGAGTGAGCGTGCCATGTTCAAATCAGCCAATGGCTGATGAATGGGTAATGCATGTGTGATTTTCGGGCATATTCCACCATTTGTTGACAGAAGACAAAGCAATTTTCAGCTGACTTTGATTCTTTATTGTGAATTCCAGGCCGCGTGCTGTGCTATATTATTTGGCTTGCATGTTGTCGGGAGCCTCTACTACTGATCGGCTGCGTTTCCTGACCATGCTCAAGAAGTGTTGCAGGGCCCCTTTAAGAGAGAACTTTTTGAGGGAGATAACTTGTAGTTAGGATGGACCATCTGCAAAATATCGGTAGTTAGTATAGCATATAGTGCATACCTAAAATCAATTTTATAGTCTTGCAACTGCCAGTGAGACTGGCCACCTCTCAACAACAATTATATTAACTTTGTTTCGATGCAAGCAACCGACCACCTGCATCACAATTTTTTTATTGTCTGCCATGCTCCTTACAAGCGTTGTGTCCTGCAATTGTGAACACAGTTCTTGGTGTGTGGCGAGTGCATCAGTGTTTGGTGTTTGCACATGTTGCCATCCAGTGTGACTGATGTAAAAGCTGCAGGCACGCCAGGAATCTGTAATGAATGCTTGAAAATTGCCAAGGTAAAATTAGCCTGGCCATCTGGCCAACAGTGCGTCTGTGTAGCAAAACTGCAACTCGTTTACAGCAGAATACACCGTCTTCTCATTGATTCCAAATGAAGTGCAGGCATGGAAGCTTCAGTCAGGGTTCCCTGCTACCTAGTTATAGAGTTTCCTGCTAGACAGAGAATGAACTCTGGTGCTGCAATCAATCGGCCATCATAGTACAGGAATTGACTTAATTTTGGTGCTTGCAACTTAAAATGCTCTTGTGCTTTTGTTTATTGTTTTGTTTTGGCATTTGTTCTGGATAGAAGAATCGATGATTAAGAATTTCGTGAGCCAATCTGAATTGCTGAACCTAAAAAGGTGAAGGTGGTGAAGTGCGACTGCAGAACATTGGCTGAACATTGTCTTGGGACAAAGGGGCTCCAGGCCACATGGAGCCAAAATAAGAAGCTCAGATGAATCCATGTATTACCAATAATACCCATTGTGCCTGTAGCACTATGCATTGCAGCTCCCATAGACACTAGCACCAGACTTCGTTTTAATATGTAAATAGCAGGGGTGAGACAGCTGTGCCTATTGCACATTTATGATACGTTTCCGTTTTCTTGTGCCAAACTGCTCCAAAAGCATAAAAATCGCAAAAACTACGCCGAACTGCTCCGAAACAAGCAAGAATTTCGATGCCAACTTCAGCTTCAGTGGGAAAAAAAAAGCCGAGTTGACTACATGATTTTCTGAGCAGCGCCAGGAATACCAAAAGAAGACGCGCCCTGGCATGTTCTTTACTTGACACCTTTCTGGTCGTGAAGGCTCCCACGGTGCAACCATAATCTCCTGTGGACCGTTGTAAATATGCATGACCCCACATATATGTGCTGCCGTGCATCGAGTGAACTGCTTCAGCTAGCTAGGCTGTGCGTTCTGACGCAACTGTCACTTCGCGAAAACCATTGAGTCGGCCACCTCAACCGAGTGGCATGCGTTGCTGGGTTTCGACTCTCAGGTTCTTTGTTGTGCATAGCACGTTCTTTGGGTCGTTCTGGTTTTCATGTCGGTACTGTTGCGTGCGGTCACCTACATGCGCACGTTTTGCACATTGGTGTCTGCAGGTAGTGTGACTGGCATATTTATTTCTTTTTTTCTCTCAAGAAATCTGGCATCTGTTCGTTCCGTGGTTCGTTTGCGTAGACCACTTGACGGTGCAGGTAGCAATCGCAAGTTGATGGCCATTGATACTAAGAAGAAAGTAGCTAATGTGGGTAGTACTAATAACGCAAGGTTGCACCTCGAGAGGCGTTATCTCCTAGTACCATCCGCTTGTCACTTAGTGCCGTACGCACGCGCTTTACAAGATAGTCGGTGCAGCGATGTTTTTCCGCTTTCGCACCACACTTTTGAAAGTGGTCCCTCACGAGGTGGCCGCGAGTTGCGGTACATCGCGCTTTTGTTGTTGGTAAGAAGCTTGCAATACACTTTACAAAAGCATGTCACTTTTCTTAAGCAAAGGCCTACTGTTACATTACTATGATTCTTGTGCAATTGCAATTTTTCAAATTGTTTATATGAGTGTGATGCATTTCTTTTTAAATGTTTCCAGTGAACCTAGTTTTCAAAACCTTTTTTCCAATATTATTTCACGTTTGTTACGAGGTCTGGATAGGTCGTGTCACTCGTGTGGTATGTAAAAAGATGGTGCAGTTCATACCTGGTGATAATCAGTTTAGAAACTTCTAAAGTCTGTTTCAGTGTAGTGCGTATTATTGGTAAATTAAAGTATGCACTTGTGCCCCCACATTGCTAAAAATTTGTTTTTTCAAGCTTCGAGGACGACATATTACATGGACGACATATTACAGACAAATGCACGAAGGGAAGACAGGATTCGATTTAGTTAGGCCGAAGAGATTAAAAAGTTGGCAGGTATAACGTGGCTGCAGAGAGCACAAGAATGGTGCATAGGAGAAGCCTTTGTCTTGTAGTGTGCGTAGTCAGGCTGGTGGTGATGATGTACACACAAATGCATGTTGATGTTTGTTTTTGGCATATTATTGACTGATAAATAATTCTGCTTGCTGGTAGAGCTATCTAAACTTAATTGTAAAAATCACCTGCTACAAACTTGTAGTAGGGTTTAATTCATGGTAAATCCAGCAATGGCCTCTTCAAGTTCTCTCCACGCTGTGCGACATGATGTTGGTGTATTTTAGCACCTGCCCATTTATACAAACATCACTTAAATCGAAAAGTTTTAACATGATTGTGTTAATGAGCTCATTTCACAGAAATTTCAGCATTGGAAGCATTAGTTATGAGCAAGAAATTATCAACTTATCCATGATGACAAAATCGTGAAAGATGCAAATGAAATAAATAAAAATTTCCTTGTCCTAGTGAGGATCGAATCAAAGCCATCAGCAAGGCAAGTAGGTGTTTTACCACAGAGGCACGAAATTTGTAATATGTGTGTGTGTGTGTGTTTGTGTGTGTGTGTGCAGGTGTAACGTAAGAAGGTAGCGATGGTTAGGAGTTGGAAGTAGAAGTCAGAATGGAATAAACATGGCGTATGAGCCAGGCCACATCTCCCAGTCATCATAGCGTCACACGAGTCGACAGGATGGAGACCTGCCAGCCCCTTCATCAGTCGCACATCATCGACAAGGTTCTCCGTAAGACACCCTGACTATAAATGAACTACCGAACCAGCACCAGCAGTGCACATCGACGAGCATCATGAGGGAATCATCGACTGACCTTCCCATCCCCAAGTACACCGGAGCAGCAGACGATGGACCTGTACAGGAATGGTTCGACTTGTTCGAGCTCCACGCTACTGCTGCATCATGGTCAGAACGGGAGATGGTCGCCAACTTTACCGACTACGTCTCTGGTGAGGCCTTCAAATTCTACCTCACCCACATATTTCAAAACGATTCATGGAAAATGATCAAACAAGAAATGATCATTTGGTTTAAAGAATACAATGACGACTACAATGAAGACTTGCTTATAACCCACCATCCACAGACAACCGCACTCGATCGTCACAGTCAAAAGTAGCCTTCACGCATTGACCAACCTCCTGCTTTTCCATCGCGTTGATCTTCGGTCACTCACGACGCTCACCTCGCGTCTCACACGTTCACTATGGTCGGAATAGAGCAGAGAAGCTCGGAGCATACTCAGTCATGCCCGGGACCTACAGTTCCGTTTCATGCGGCAGAAGAGCTCGCATTGTTCGTTGCACAGAAAGACAGTCATTCCCAACTAGAATCTGAACAAACCACGCCTATTGCGGTGTCGCCATTAAAGGCACAGCCATCTGAAAGCCCAAACACAGGAGGCTCGGAAGCAACTCTTACAGGTTGCCAGGTGCCAGAAGCCTACGTAATGAATGCTGTCACAGGCGCCTCTGACGTTACTCCAGTCAAATCTGTCCTATCAACTTCGCTGCCTGAAAAGCGTTGCGACAGCTACCAACTCGACACTACGTCAAATTGCCAAGAAAGACATTGTCCTATTCCAGAAAAGCTGCCACCTCAACACTTTTCACAACATCAGCAAGGCCAGCACAATGAAATCGGCAAGGTTAAGCGCCTTGTTATTCGACATGGTCAACTAGAGACGTCGGAGGAACACACATGGAGTCAAGAAAAACTGAATGCAAGAACAGCGCAACCTAGAAGTAGTTACTTCGTAACTACGGAAGCGAAAAAAAAAAACAAGGACAGAAAAAAGCGCTGTTTCAAGGTTCCACAGCAAACTTTGGTCCAAGTCCCAAAGCATTATGCACTTTCTCAGGAAGTTCAACATCACCAACAATGTGTACCCGGTTCTTCGGCAAGACTGGCTTCTTTGAAGGCTAGGTTTCTAGGTTGCGCTGTTCCTGCATTCAGTTATGTCCTACCAACTTGCCCAAGCTTCCACGCTTCAAGAAAAATGTTTACAAACGACTCAACCAAAGCGACAACATATTCAAGTTGTCTCACTCGAGACAAAGAACGCATCGAATCCCAGACATTTTCCCAAGGGACGTCGCGTAAGTTTTTTCCATCAGAGGTCAATACTCAGACAACATGACATACGACGACGGAAAAGGTGCAAACCAACCTATTCCCTAAGAACGGGGAAATCACCGCAACCTTGGTCAACAAATACGCAAACAGGTGGCGCCATATGTGTACCAATCAAGACAAAAAGCACGACGCCTACGCAAGTTATGCTGCTGGTGCTCCAAAGCCTTCACACCACGTTCATTCCTCGCAAGAATACAAGCAGTGTCATCATCAGTTTCTGCGGTCAAGGTGTACTTATGTTTTCCAAAACGCAACAGTCAGCCTCACCTACCAGAGCTGTACTAAACCTGGATTTCTGCCCTCTCCTGTGAAATACTTGTGCGACTTTACGGAACTTCAATCTGATGTGGAACTCCAGCCCATTTGGACATTTTTTGTGTGTTCTAAGACTGCTTGTTCATCATGCATCGTAATATGCAACGCGCACATTCTTTCGGAGGGAGGGAGAAATCCTGTAACGTAAAAAGGTAGCGATGGTTAGGAGTTGGAAGTAGAAGCCGAGAAGGAAGAAGTCAGAATGGAATAAACATGGTGTATGAGCCAGGCCACATCTCCCAATCATCATTGCATCATATATATATATATATATATATATATATATATATATATATATATATATATATATATATATATATATATATATATATATATATATATATAAAATAAGGGAAAGAAGTGCATACCTAAGGGCTCGTTTTTCCGTGTTTTAACACAATATTAATGAGATCTAACAGACAGTAATGCCAAGGAATGTACAGGGGAAGTTATTAGAACCAATGGAATGTAAATAAGAAGAAAGAAGAAAGAAAAGTGGATGAAAAAATAACCAGCCGTGAGCAGGAATCGAACCTACGACCTTCGAATAACGCGTTCGATGCTCTAACCACTGAGCTATCACAGCGGCCCTCCCTCCATCCACTTTTTTGGGTTTATATGTGAATTTAGAAGTAGGAGTGACAGTAAGCGCCATCTATAAGCCGAGCGACGAGTGTGAAAACACTCTTATTCGCATGTTTGGCGTCACGTAGCACGTGAACTTATTATGAGCGGGCAACTGATTAATTGTCCCTCTTATACAACCTAAACACACAAGTCTGCCAGTACGAGACCCTCGTTCAATGAAATAAGGGAAAGAAGTGCATACCTAAGAGCTCGTTTTTCCGTGTTTTAACACAATATTAATGAGATCTAACAGACAGTAATGCCAAGGAATGTAAAGGGGAAGTTATTAGAACCAATGGAATGTAAATAAGAAGAAAGAAAAGTGGATGAAAAAATAACCAGCCGTGAGCAGGAATTCGTGTATATATATATATATATATATATATATATATATATATATATATATATATATATATATATATACACGAATTTCATCTAGTGCAAGGAGACTCCTTAATGTCTGTAGTAGTTTGTGGCAAAAGTGTAGCGATGTGTCAAAAGATGTGAATTAAACAACCAGTAGGTGTTTTAAAGGCCCACTTATTACAAAGCGCTCAGTCACATTTAATCATCAACAGCAGAAGCATCAATGAAATGAACAGCTGCACAAGTTTTTCTTACCTTACAGATGCATAGTGGGGACTTAACTGTGCTTGCAGTAGGCATTGAATGATGGAATGAAATGGCAAATACTATGTGCATAGTCATTAGTTTCCTTATGACACGGCTGATACGTGCGCCGAAAACTAAAACAGGTTAGAAGTCCAAATAGTGATGCACGCGAGGACCAATTACCCTATCGCTATCTAGTCATGAAGGCGAACCTCAAACGATGTTCAATATTTTTGATATACCCTTAGAGTTCGAATTAACTTTCACTGTATACACATCCGTAATACAAGAAAGTAATTATTTTATTATGGGTGATCTGCTGGTGGCAGCAGTTGGAATCCAAGCATTCGACGAGGAGCTGTATTGACAACTGTATTTTTTATTTTACTATCTTTGTACACAGGAGCAACGTGGCAATTGTTGCATATGTACAAATAAATATTTCGCACTTTAACGATACATTCACAACATTTCCGTACTGAAGCATAAGCATAGTACTGATGAAATAGAGGTGCACTCACTTTCTGGTACATTTTTTCAACAGTAGGTCACTTTTTTTTCTTCTCGGAACTCAAGAGCAATACAACGCCAATAACCACAGAAACGAGGATTCACATCAGGGTCCACACTCCCAACCGAGATGTGCGCTAAAGGCAATAAGACTAGAATTCACAGGAAATTGCAGTGAAACTACTTGATGTGTTACTTGACGGCACCCAACAGGGACACTGCATGCAGTTAAGTGGGTATATGGGTCTCGATTTCTTCTCAATTCTGTATCGATTGATACAAAAGTTTATGTGTATTTGTGAGCAATTAATTTTGTTGTATAACACGTAGTTTTTAAAGTATCTATGCTTTTTGGGAGCCATAGTTTACCTAAACTGAAAGTAATTAAGTAAATCGCAATGGCCTGAAATGAGTACGAGGGCAAAAAACAATAATTGATGTTCGAACCCCCTTGAACAAAAAAAAGCTATGGCATGTCCAACATTCGCCAATTAGCCTACCTGAAGCAGGGATCTCTGTCACAAGTATTCAATATACCACAACTTTTGTAGAAATGGGCTTAGAACATCTGCCTTTGTTTTCTTGCACTTAATACTCATTCCAGATTATTTTGACGTGCTAATTTATTTTGTAACTCTCTCTATTTAGGCAAAGTATAACTCCTAAACTGGCACCTGAAATTTAAAATCTACTTAGTGCAATAGGATAGAAATTGCACAGTTTGAAGTAATAAGTACATAAACTTGGTGACTTTCATTGAAGTTTAAATATTAAGAAAAGCTTTCAGGTGCAGAGAAGCATAGCAATGGGGGACATTTTTTGTTGTAATGTTGGGAACTGAGCAAACTGTACTGTACAGATGAGAAACAGTAGTGACTTGGTTAAATGGGAACATCCACACTATGTCGAAAAAATCCCGGCAGTTTCATTTCTTGAAGAGCATCCGTCGCGACGGACCTCGCTGCAATAAGTCCACAATGATCCTGCTGGGTTTCCAGCACACTTGAGAGGGGTAGATAAAGACGAGCTGCAGAACATAAAGTAAAAACACATGTTAGAGAGAAAAAGATAAGCATACAGTGAAAAATTTATTTCACAACCAGATTTTACGGATTTCTTCATTAAATTGGGAAGATTTAACGAAGAAATTTAGATTCCCCTCGTAGTTTCCCATGCGCTTAATGTTTTTATGAAATCGAAATAATCAACCAAACCTCGCCGCCAAACTCAATTTAATGAAGCATTCTAGGAGAAAGATGCATATAAATGGAGCCTTTTTCATATTTATGGCATCTAGACTGTCTGCCTATTAGCATTAAAGCAGTACAATCGTTGCAGCGAAGAGGGTCTCGTTTTGTTTATTGCAAAACTGTAAACCAAAACTGTATGAAACAACAGAGTGTGTATTTCTTTCCAGGCTTAGGGTCAGTTCCACCAGATAGTGAAAGCATGCATCAACTCTCAACGCATGCAGGTGAGTGTTAACGGCACTGGACTAATGTGGCAGCTTTTGTTAGTCTCTGCTATACAATTTATATTAAAATCCATTTCTCAATTTTACAAAGTTCCACATTTAACGGTCTCGGTGAAATTAACGCTCAGCTGTAGGAATAAAGTAGAGCCCTATCTGAAATTCTCAGTCATGTAGTCCTAATGGACATTGCGGTAAATGCTACACAAACAAGTGTTTCATTTAAATGAACCTGTGATAGATGTTTTCAGATTTACTGTTTTCAAAACAAGGCAGGAGCGGTTGAGATCAAGCATGTGCAAATATTTGAGCACTTCGAATATTTGAACGAATAAAACAGTATTTCATTTTACTTTGGCACTAATTGAAATTATTCTAGATGAACAATGGCACATATTAGACCGCATGTAGCGCCACTGTAAGAATGGTTTCGCTGCAGTGTAAAGATAATGAGTCATCAAAACACCAGCGCATTAAAAAATCTGCACTTTTTCAAAGCCCCAGCTCAACGTTACATGAAATTTTAAGCTTAAAAGCTTGTTACAGTGGCTCTAAGCGTAGTAAACTTTGACATGTAACATATTTCACCGAGGTTATTATCCTATTGAAATTCAAATCCTGTGACTATTCAATTTGATACTTCAACTTCACTTCAAACCAAAAAGCAAGACATTCTCACATGCCTCCTTCCAACTTCAAGATATATTGCGCAGGTTAGTTGGGTCACGACAAATGTGCAAATTTTTCTTTACAATATGCTATATGTACTATTCAATTTGAATTATTTAACTATTTCTTTAGTACCTAGAATTTACTATTCGTACAATCACAGTATGCAGTCACCCGCTTCAATTTGTAAATGTGCCTGCCAATAAGTGATATCTTTCAGCATACTACTGATTTTTACACTGTTTTACTTGAAGAAACATTGCTTTGAAAAAAATGCAGAAAAAAAATGCTATGTCTTCGCAAAATTTGGCGAAAAATTATGTCGACCCTTTCCAGCACAGTTGCGCAACACCGATATGCAGTCTATTTATTGTCAGTGGTAGCGGAGGTGTGGGTTTTGTAGTGTGTTTTAAGTAGCTTCAATAGTTGAGTAACAGAATGAAATTTAATACACTTAGTAATACTGCACATTGCAAATCTATGAGTAGATTTCAAATAGTTGCATTAGAACAAAAGATATGCTATCTCAACAACATTTTCTAGCATAATTTTTTAGGAGGATATACTGCACCTTCTCTTCATTAGTCCTCATTAAACAGAGCGCACGAAACTCGGGACAGAAAAAGATCAGGACAAGTGCTCATTGTCAGCTGAAATTTTATTGCAGAATCAGACACCCATCGAAACCGCAATAAAGAGGAGAAAGAAAAAAGAAAAGGAAAGAAACCAGAACGAAAAAAGGACATGTGTCTACGTTAAGACACTACACCTCTTGTACAGGAAATGATACTACGTTTTCTGTGCAAGAGGCGTACTGTACAGAATTCCTGTTTCATGTGGCAGGTATTACATAGGCCAGACTGGCAGATGCTTCAACGTTCGCCTGCAGGAGCATGAAAACAAAATCGGGAACACTGAAATTGACAGACACTGTGTTCCACTGTTCAGTCAGACAGATGTGCTGTATCGGCACCGGAAAAAAACTAGAGAAATCGTAGAGGCGGCAGAGATAGTGAGGGCAGGTGACAGGTGTGTTAGTATCCCTTCCATCCTGTTATCTGTTAAAAAGCATGAATTCTTGGCGTAGACACGTGTCCTTTTTTTGTTCTGGTTTCATTACTTTTTTCTTTTGCTCTTTTTCCTGTTTATTGCAATTTCGATGGGTGTATACATGCTCTGATTCTGCAACAAAACTACAGTTGATAGTGAGTGCTTGTCCTGATCTCCTTCTGTCCCGTATTTTGTGGGCTCTGTTTTATGAAGACCTATAAATAACCAACACGCCCAAACCTTCTCTCTTTTGAAGTTCTCTTAAAAAAAAAAAAACAGGGTATGCAATGAGCCTGCCAGAAAACAGGTGTAGCCGATGATGCTATTTACATACTTACAATGTCATGCACAAAATTATAATTATTTGCAAGTATAAAGCAATAGCTTTTCACACATATTTGCATCTGTTGATTTTGCATTCGAAGTTCAATGAAAACAAATTAGCACTGACGGCTAGGCTGGCAGTTTTGCCACATAGCTCGCTTTTGTGTTTGACAAAGCTAGGTTGCTAAAAAAACACCTGAAGAAATATGCTCTCACAAGTTGAACATTTTTCGTTCTAGAGCAGATAATAAAAATCTATTTGGATACTAGAAATATGCAGAAAAATCTTCATTCAGTAAACACAACTAATAAAGAACATTTTTTTCAAAAAGCATGCACATATTGAAGTGAGAATGAAAGCTGCTCTTGCCTTTGGGGTGGAATGTTCTGGAGTTGTACCACACTAGGCCTTCAAAGAGTCACCCATGCTGATTTTGGCAGACTGAAATCACAGAAGGATAATTGCTTTTTCACATGTTGCCAGTTAGAACCATTGCAAGAGAGCCCCGCCACAGTGGTCTAGTGGCTAAGGTACTCGGCTGCTGACCCGCAAGTCGCGGGATCGAATCCCGGCTGCGGCGGCTGCATTTCTGATGGAAGCGGAAATGTAGCTCAGATTTGAGTGCACGTTAAAGAACCCCAGATGGTCGAAATTTCCGGAGCCCTCCACTACGGCGTCTCTCATAATCATATGGTGGGTTTGGGGTGTTAAACCACACGTATCTCTCTAACCATTGCAAGAGAGCATGCACTGGTCGCTATGACATTACTTGTTATGTGCTCCTCAACAGACAAATCAGAGCAGCATGTCCTCATTTCCTGTGGTGAAAGTCCGTTAATTTGAAAAACTGAATTAGTTTAACATGTACATCGGTCCTGGCCAGCATATTTGTTTACTGCAATCAAACTCTCATTAATTTGACTGTTTTTAACTGCAGTCCAGTTAAACTTGGACGATCCTCAAGTTGGGAATGATGAAGATTGCGGCTCACACTGTCCTTTTTGCAAGTGCTGAAGTTACACGTTCATCGAGAAAAAGTGCATTGGTGAGGTTTCTTCAATGTTTTCTAGATACATTTGATAATTTGGCATTTGGTTGATTTGGACAGCTGCTCCAGTCCTGTGAAATTATGAGCTTTCGCTGAGCCACAATCGGGGATTCAAGCGGTGAGAGGATGTCACCCTCTGGCACTGGTAGCTAGAATATCAACTTGCTGTTAAGAAATAATATTTAAACCTGCAGGGGTTTTACATGCCAATACTACAATACGAGTCACATTTGGGAAATTTCGACCACTTGGCAGTAGAGCTAAGTTCAACTCTCTAGGTTTGCGCCTCTATCAAAATACAACTGCTACAATCGGAATCGAACCTGCATCTTTCAGTTCAGTAGTTGAGAATTATGACTGCTGCACTATCAAGGCAACCAATTATCTTGATAGCAGAGTGGCAGCACTGATGCCTGAAACAGGGTGCCATTTCAATAATATATTGACAAAGTAAATTTTGTAAAACCAGCGACGCAAAGAACATTCGATCTACATTCCGAAAGGGAAGAGATGACAGTGGGGGCTGTAACTTTTTACAAATATGATTATAGCATCAGCAGTAGAGTTCAATAACAGAATCAGACACTGAAGACTAAATACAAGTTAGCTGGTCAAAATGTCGGCTTTGAAGTGTTCTACTACAAAAATAATGCAGTGGCTTAAAAAGAACAAGAAGACTAACACTAAATAGAACATTCACTGCTTATGAAGAGAGGCTCAGGGGTGCAACAGCCGAAATGAAATTCGGAGCAATTTATGGAGCAGCAAAAGGTTACTATATTACACCACTAAAATAGAAATTTAGAGCGGTATGAAAAAAGAAGGCTTGCATTTTAAATATATATATATATATATATATATATATATATATATATATATATATATATATATAAAACAAATCATTCGACAACACCTCAACAGCTAGAGTGAATATGAACACTGCTGTTTCAATAAAAGTGGTATTTTGAACCACCCCACTCGGCAAACAATGAGGAAGTCTACATTAGTACCTGCCACACTTGTCAAATCCTTTGACAGAATTTGAGGATTCAAATGTGCATCTGCTAGGCTGGCAACCTTGAAATGTGTAAAACTGGGGAGTAGGTGTGGCAAAAAAAAAAGGGTGCACAGTTTTGTTTGATTTTTTGGGGACTGGCGAAATGTCATACAGTGCTTCAACAATCATATTAGTACAGTGATGACTAACAGCAACAGCATCGGGGCTCTAGTGCGCGAGGAGTTAGGGAGAAGAGGAGGACGACGAGATGCAGAATGAAGCAGCTGGCCTTGTGAAGAGTCTATTGAGTCTATTTGCGTCTACAGTACACACAATTATGTAGCACACACACACACGTGAGACAACAAACTGTGCTGTGCCCCACGACTAGTGCTAACAGCCCCTTCCAAATCTTGAAACACTTTTCAGCAGGCCAACGGTGTACGGTGGCAAAGGTGGTTTAAGCGACCTTCTGCAGGGGTTAGAACAAGGCCAAGATATCCCCCCACCCATTCCTGTTCTTTTATTTACAATCGGTTTAGGTTTAGGGCACAATTTCTTGGCTTGCTTGCAAGGTGCATTTGACTATATAAAGCAACAAAAGCATGCAGCCGTTGACCCAGCAATGGCACCCGATATCTATCACATGTGTTGTTCCTATGGCAACCAATGTGGTCGCAGGCATTGTCGTCGTTCCTGGCACGCCGAGTTTGCTCCCGCACAGTAGCAGCAGTTTACGCTTGCAGCTTTAGTTCCTACCATGACATGGCCACATTTGCTGATAGAAAAATTCACATTTCCCACAGAGTGTTGCTGGCTACAACAATGCATTTTGCATCATCCCGCTGATATCCACTGCTGTAATGTGATGTTACTTTATCTGGTCAACCACGTTTCGCGAGTGTCCTGGCCTAATGAGTACGTGTCTTACAGGGTGGTTTAGGGTCAATGTGCCTGGATTCCTGGATTGATTGATGACGCAAGGTGGCCAACGTGGCCTCCACTTCTCGCCGAAATGAGCGCAACTGAGAAAATTTTAAGGCTGGTCAAGAATTTTGGTGCAGTGTGGGGCGATTCGGCAAATTTTATATCTTTCGTGCATTGGGAATTGTATGAAGTTAGTACAATTGGCGCAGCTGTTGCATCCCTGCAGGTTATTCCGTTCAGAAAAGAAACAGCAGAATCTAAATTTGAAGGAGCAAATTCAATAGGTAATACAGCTGAATTATGTGGTTTTGCAGAGTTGCGAAAAGCTTACCCATTACTTGCCAAAATGGCTTTCGGTCCTGATATGAGGTGTGCAGTGCTATAAGAGTACAGTTTCAATAACAGCAAAAAAAAAAAAAACAAAAAAAGGCCCAAGCATAGGTCGGCAAAACTTGTGGAGCGCAGTCAGACTTACTCATGAAATATATTTTTAGCTTTGGACTCACTCGAACTCAGACTCACAAAAATTTTCTTCAGCTGGTCTCAAACTCACCAAAACATTACTCACGGCTTGATCAGAGTCGGATTAAGTCAACTCATGAGTCCATAAGCCTACAATTGGCTTCTTCGACCATGGTGTCGATGCTCTTTAACACCTTATCTTACGTAATCAGTGCTTTTTTTGGTGTTCGACATAGTATCTTCGAAAAATTGTGATAAGTACATGATTAAGATGCAAAAATAAAAGAAAAAAAATGGCAACCCTGTGGAATTAAAGGCAACTCAATCATAAATTATGCATCTTTTAGCTCCTTTCTTGGTGTGATACAATTTCACATGCTAACCAGAAACAGCTGAAAATGTTTCACTCTCAACTATTTTGGGCTTGTATCTATACAATAGCTCCTTTTTTTAACGAGGCATGCTTGGAAGAACGAGGCACATGAGGCAGAATGATGAAGGATGATGTACGATGTTTACCGGTGCAAGGGCTATTTCATGGCCCAAGAGCGCCAAAAGATAACGAATGCGAACAATGGTTAAGTTTAGTAGCTACTGTATAGGGGCCTAAAATTCCTCACGTCAAAGGCGAGTAAAATGTATGAGTATTAAGATCATGACAGTGAGATGCCATGTGTACAGTGCAGATCAATAACAAGTGGTGGCAATGAACTATGGAGAGATGGCTTAGCAAGATGCCTCATCAACAGCTTTTGTTTCACATTACACATGACATGAAGCCGAAGGAATCACCATTGTTAAATTAATTATACAAGTCATTACGTATGTTAAGTAAATGAGGCCTAACTTACCATGATGACGGCCACAATTAGGCCAAACAAGCCAATGGCACTGGCAAAGATCTCCACAATAAGAAGCTTGACAAAGAGTGCTGGGTTAGCCGCATCAGCAAGCGCAGCACCCGAGCCCACCACGCCCACAGACATCCCGCAGAAGAGATTGCTCAGGCCAACCACCAGGCCTGCTCCAAACATTATGTAACCTGTAAGTACAAAAGAGCGGCAAGACAAGTCAATCGACAAAAAAAAAAACTTAGAGGACGCTTGAGCTTCTCAGGACAAAATGTGGCATAGTGCTAACACTCACGGACATTGAAGAAACAAGCGGGATGCTGTTCTCTCTTGCAGATCCGTGCATGTTAGTGCTATGCCACATTTTGACACCTAAGATTTGCCTTCAAGAGCAGAACACAGTAGTGTAATTGAGCCACCTGTGCAATTGGGCCCCATGACTTTGCTAGCTGTAGATTGGCGGTTTCAATACAAAAGTTAGGAGTACTGGGATCTGGAGATGTAGTTAAAATTATTGTTAATACTGCTGTTCAACATTGTATTACTACTGAGAAAGTGTCTGATTTATTTTTATTTATTTCTGGCATGTTTGATTAGTAATTGAATTAATTTCAAAGTTCCCTGTTCATATGTACCCACTAAAAGGGGCTGTAACATGATCAACCACCAAATTACGGTTTGCAGTGAAAAATGGAAAAAAATAGGCCTATTGTGCCTGCACGTGTATGAAAAATTACACCATTGCCCACTAAAAGGGAGCCATGCAAAGCAGCGCATGGGTCGACTTAAAAGTTGCGCTCATCATGGGCACCTTGCCCGATGCCAATGCGTCCATGCAAGTGGAGTACACTATGAATCCACTGTAGTTTCTGTTGCTCGCCCTGAACTCTTGTTGGAGCATGCCACATGAAAGCACACCACACGGGAACATGTGGGTTCATCAAGCGTCTGCAGAATCTCGTTCCCCGACACTGTCATGTGATAGCTGAAGGAGTGTAAGGGAGAGAGACCACAGCCTCTTACGCAGGCCGAAATGCTCTAGCACATGAGTGGGTTCTGGCAGTACTGGGGCCAGCTGTTGCGCATGCCCGGTAAGGGTGGTCACACCGCACACCACCTAATTGAACTCTATTATAAGTCGCTTCACATCTAAATACACTGGAAAAGAATATTTCATTGCAAATTGAGCACTTAAAGTTGCCAGCTATAAACCCTGCCTACTGCCGGCGACCTTCATTTTGCCATGGTGTGTGTGACGTCATGTGCTTATGGAGTGCAGCCATCGTCCTCTACCTAAGTTTCAGCTACTGCAGATTATTTCATTTTAAATGCCAAGCTGAATGAGGCTGCAATAGCTCCATTGTACGCACCATGAAACGATATTATTCGCCAGAATACAGATGCTTGCAAAACATATGGCTTGTTACGTCACAGCTTGAGAGTACACTAGTGTAGTCAGGTGCTCGCGTTGCTTGTGCGCCTCTAAAAATACTCATTATATGAATAAAACCACATACCGCCATTCATGAGCGAAAATTTAGTGTCACTGCCCCAGATGGGTACAAGGGTTTGGGTGTAATCCTGGGAGCAGGCAAAGATGCCTTTTGTAGCAGGCTTGGAGCAGCAAGAAAGAGGTTTTGGAGCAGGTTTGCCAGAAAGGCCACCCTGATAGCAAGTTTAGCGCACTAAGAGAGAACATTCTGAACAGATGTAGCCCTGTTTCACAGAACTAGTTAAGCAACATTTGTCCAACCCTGCATTTCTTAAACCCTAAGCTACGTTGTGCTTTATCCTAAGATAAATTATGCCATAACCTTGCTATTGTGAAAGCAATTACATGTCATGGATACTCTCAACAGGTTGTTGCTTTTGGCGTTATGTCCAGTATAACGTCCACATTGATAACGTCCATCCACCATTATACTTGTTACCCATGGGTAGAAGTGCGTGAGCGTGGCGAACGAATGCGGCTGATGCAGAGATCGAATGGGCCAGCCCATTTTCTTCACTCTGTGGGTGCACACAATAACATAAGCCCAATCAGAAGGATTGCCATCTAAGCTGAGAGGAAACGCCCTGCCAGTCTTGAACAAGCATGAAAGAATATGAAAGGGGGGGGGGGAGTTGTCGCTCGAGCGGCAACAGTGACCTTTGCTCTAAGGGCGCAGTTATAATCGCAGGCGCATGCGCTAGCACAGCAACCATCAGCGGGTCGCTTGTGTACACTTCTACAGGCTCATCGCAAAGAGACTGCGAAGAGTTGCTCTCTGTGAAGCGGCTTTATTCTTTTAGAGCCGCGCCTCGTAGTTACATAAGATTGGATTCAAGAGAGCCAGCATCACTTCATGTCAAGTTTTTAACCTTAACATGTGCAAGTGTTAACCAAAGAATCTATAAGTGCCGTATGGAGCACAGCAGGGAAGTGAACAAGAAAATTTTCACTGGCGCTCTATGAGCAGTCTTGTGCATTTGTCTTTGTTAGGCAGTTCCAGGAACCATACACCAAACATCCTTTTCTTTTGAGCACTGTTACCGTCATCTTTTTCTTTTTCTAATCACTGCCATCAAGTTAGGCTTATGTGAATACTGAATTTTAGGTTCGAAGTGAATTCGAATCGAATAGTGATTTTAGTTGATTGATTGATGATTGATTGATGATTGAATTGAATTCGAATAAAATACATCACGTATAAACAAAAATGGGCATATTTATCATTACATAACTAACTTGCACAATATGTTTTTTTTTTAACAAGGCCTCCATGCAAGAGCTTTTTTATTTTTTCCATACAAAAGAACTCGAAACAACTTTTAGAAGTAGCATAATTTTACTTTCAGTAGGATGCAAGTGATAACCTCTAAAATATGCAACATTATTCGTTGCAGTTAGAGTCTATAAGCCAGAAAAACAAGCTTTTAAGCTTAAATATGATCAATCATTTTGAGTATAAGTGACCCTGCAACAGTGTTTCAGTAGCCATGGAATGAATTCACTAAAGAAGCTTATTGCCTTATGAATTAACCGCCCAAAAATTTTTAGAATCTCTCCAGTATGAGCAGAGTCACAAAGATTTGCCACATGCTGCAATTGCATTCTCTTTTCTCGTCCCAACGAAAGCGCTTGAAGCAAAGCCGGAAGAGATGGCATAGGGAAAGAAAATACGTCACGTGAATCTTGTGACCTTGTGCACTGTCTCTTTTTTTTTTTTCTTTGAATACGCGGCTTATCAGTGCGATTGCGCATGTAGGCGTGGACATGTCGTGGCCACCCGCAGTGGCCCCAGTAACGACCGAGCAACCCATGCTCAAATCAGCTAATGGCTGGCACAATGGCTGTGACGAGTGATTTTTGATATTGTGGTGTCATTTGCCGAGAGAAGAGAGCAATTTTTATCTGACTTTGAAAATTAATTGTCAATTACACATCACGTGCTGCGCTATAATATTTGGCTCGCGTGTTCTCCGTTGCCTCAACTACCAAAGGGCAGCATTTGCTGACCGTGCCCAAAAATTATTGCAGGACCCCTTTGAGTTTGAAAAGAGCCTCGTGGCAAAGCAAATTTCTCCTGGATAAGTGCTTTCATGGCTTTGCACCACTGTACTGCAGTGAAAACACCTTTATAGGCAGAACATGTAGTTTAGTATACACCTATTCGTTCATGTCGAATATTTCGAAATTTTTGATAATTTAAATTCCAATCGAAGCAAATTTGAATACTTTACTATTTGTTTGAATATTCGAAGCATGTGAATATTTGCACCAGCCTACATCAAGTTATTAAAAAAAAAAGTTTGATTGCAAGGGCGAAGCAATGAATGCAATTGCAACAAATTGTAATATTACACGAAGTAAGGCCAACTCTTTTGGATCCGCATAACTCTGCAAAAGGCATGTGTAATATGGCTGTGCCAGGAGATTCTGTTTTCGCACGGTCACTTCGCGTTGAAGACGCAGCACGTAGAAGGGTTCCATTTGGGTTGATCGGATAACTGTCCAGATTGAGCGCACCATCGACTGCACCCTTGAAACCAAAGTTCACAGCTGTTGCTTGAACGATCAGAGCTTTGGCGAAACAGAAACATTTTGATGAAACAGAAAACTCAATTGTTTCAAGCACGTTTTCGGTCATGGAGCTTGGTGGCCCCCCACACCTTGCCACTACATTCGGGTGCTGCGATGCAGTGCGGTACTGATAAACCAGTTTGGCGCACTAGGGAAAGTTTAGCGCAGGATGGTGCAGATAAACAAGTTTGGAGCTCAATGGTGCAAATGGTGCAGCTGTTGCACCCTTGCTCCTTTAAAGGGGCCGACAACCGATTCTTTTTCGACTCAATTTTTTCGGCACCACAGAAAGCTTACCCTTCGCAGTGTTCGTAGCTGCAGTAGTTAATCCCAAAAACATGTATTTATTTTACAAGCCATATTTTTTTTTATCAGAAAGGCTCTGAACATGGATGTTCCTTTTGTCCAGCAACGCTGAAGATTATTAGCGATGCCGGTAGCCTTTCAAAGACCTGTGCATGCTCTTGTCTGCTTTCGCAGGAGTTCCTGTAACTATGCTTAACCACATTTATTTGAGCTTTACAACTATATTGAAAATAACAAGCTATTACAATGAAATGGGGCGGCTTCATACAGGTTCTCATTATTTGAACTGCAGAACATGGGCGTGCGCCCAAGGTTGTTGGGCCTGTGCAGTCACCGGAAATGTCACTGCGCATTTACTGCGCGGCCGTGCCGAGTAGCACTACAATTTCCAAGACAAAGTGTAGGTAGAAAAACCACGTCGCCCAAAAATCTTGGCGACCTGTAAACTGTGTGCACCGTTTTATGAGCACGCAGAAAAGTTGCTCAGGAAGTGCTGATGAGCATGAGATCATTACGTCATGCGAAGGCAGCGCCACTTCAAAGCTTATTACTAAGGCAGGTCTATATGTACATTGTTATGGAGTAATATTTTTCACTATAATGTTACAACCAATACTTCAATACAAACATAAAAATTGTTGACTGTGTACACTCATCGACAGTCACACGACAGGGTCCATCAAATAACTAGTTTCTGCCACCAGGTGGCACCACAAGCTATTTCGGCGAATTTCGATGAAGAAATATATAAATCCACTTTTCAAGAGAAAAAGAGGGTTAGTTTTAGTCACTACAACGGACAATTTTTCCATCCGTGCAGTCATCCCATTTCATGTTCCGGGCAGTTGTTGGTCCCTTTAAGAAATTCACACAGCAGGTGCTGCTAGATTTCCTTCTAGGTATTATTGTGAGAAACTCATGGCAGTAATAAATGCTGAGTCATACCCGACATGTAGTTGAGTGCCTTCTGTTTGTAGTCGAGTGTGTCGTCGTTGAATCTGTTGATCTGGCCCTGAAGAACAATGGCCATGATGATGCCATAGATGGCGACGGCTTCGCAAAAGATGATGGAGACTAGGTTCTTGGTGCGAATGCGTGGGGCCTTCACACCCCCACCCACGATGCTCACGCCTGTTGTGAAAATGCCACTGCACGAGAATAGATTTTTTTATCAATATCCCGAAGAGACTTGACCAAGTTTTTGCAGCACTGATAAAAAACATAATACACACAAATGACTTTCGCTGACTTCCAACTGAAGTTTACTGAGTAGCACAAAGCCAGTTTTTATACATGTTCACATGTTATCAACAACATGAAGCGCAATCACTGGTGACCAAACAAAAACTGCATTTCTCGGCCAGTTACACTTGGAGCAATTACACGAGCACTGACTGAATTTTGACACCGTTCAAAAAATGTTTTTCGTTTCTTTGGTATGCAGCTTTAATGTTATTCAAACACTGGACTCAGACAATGGGCATAAAATACTTTACTTTGATGTTAAGGTTTTCGTCACTGAGCATTAGCAAGCCAGCCTTGCAATGGAAATTATCTCGACAAATCAACACAATTCCGCTAAGTTTGCAATCTCAGCGTCGTGCGTAAATCGCAGAAACTGCTGTTGGGATCACTGGACGAGACGTTTATACGCACCATCAGCAGATCTGCCTCTATAAAGTGGCCTGTCTCGCCATGACACCACACTGACATGACATGTCACTGGGAAACCTCTCCTAAACTGAAAGTGCTTTTTTGAGGTATTACAAAGATATTGGTGCATTCCCAGGCATCACAGTTTCATATTTATGGTTCTAGACACCACAGATTTCATCTTAAAGAGACTATCCGAATATATTTAGAACTGATGTTAGTACTCCTTTAGGCAGTCGAAATCTATTTCCCAATGTGAACAGTTTTTGTTTGGCTGTTAGCAATTTCATTTTCGAGTTGTTGATAACATATGCACATGTATAAAAACTGTCTTCATGCTTCTCAATAGATTTTAGGTCAAAGTCAATGCATTTCTGTGTAGTTTATGTATCTTCTACAGCCCTCGTTTTTTAGCGCTACAAATACTCAGTATACATATATAGACATGTACCAACCAACCCATCAACGGAGTCTTCTCAAACAAACACTGAAATGAAGAACCCAATTAATACAAGAATGTTTCTTGCAAGTCCACGAACAATAAGCCAGTGGTAAATAGTTTGTCTTAGATGTTAACATTCGACAGAAGTCTGTCTGGTTGGGTATAAAAACTGGGAGATGACTAGAAGTTTTTGAAGAAACTTGCCGTTTCGAAACCGACTTGGTTCCTTCCTCAGGGGGGACTGCCGGACTACAAAGCAGCGGCGTCTTCAAAGCACTCAAAGGAGGGTTACTACCCGCTCCGCGAGTGCTTTCAAGACGCCACTGCTTCGTAGTCCAGCAGTCTCCCCTGAGAAAGGAACCAAGTCGGTTCCGAAACGTCGAGTTTCTTCAAAACGTTTTGGTTAGTTTAAATCATCTCCCAGTAAATAGTTTGTATATATACAAAGCTCGCCGTTAGTGACATAAATAGCATGACCAGTGTGGCCTAGCTGGTTAACATAGCACAACGTGGAGTGGTGTGGCCTAGCTGGTTAACATAGCACAACGTGGAGTGAAGGGTCGCTGGTTCGAATCTCCGGTAAGGCGCCTTAGAATTTTTAGTTTCTAATTTATTTTTTTTTGTGCCTTTTCTAATCATATATACATACATATACATATCAGGGACATAAAAACAGCGGCTGAAATCAGCTGAGAGTGTCCATATAATTTCTATCGTAATAAAATTAGTCCCAAGCGGATCCAATGACGACCGTATCTGCTGTAGCTGTATTTTTCTATGTGAAATGGCCCCACTTGTCTATGCTTTTTCAATAGAGCTTATTCCTCCTCCTCCTGCATCTCGCCTTTCATTACATTAGCACCTCTAGTCCCACACATGCGATATTTTTGAACGTAGTTAGAAAAATAAACAAAAATTATTTCGTTGAAAAATTGGTGCAGTTTTATTCAGAAGAGGTTCTACAACTAGACAGGAAAAAAAAATGTTTCAATCATTTTGGCAAGTGTTTCCGTTTTTTTTTTTTTTTCGCCGCTTCTTTCGCTTGCGAAAGGGTTAAAAAGCAGGGCAAAGCAAGAACTGCGTTTTTAGAATTTTGCCCAAGATAATGTTATGCCCCCACTACCAAATTATAACAGGTGGAATCCAACTGACATTTGAATATTTAAAAAAGTTGCAAACATGATTTAATGATCACAAATTGAGTGACGAATTTCTCCAGTGGCTCCATTGCCTTTCCAGTACCTTGCATTTCTTCCGATTCGAATTGAAGCTTATTTGTCCTGAATTCTCACGTAATCAGGAGCAGAGCTTAAAGGCTATACAGCCTGACAAAGGGGCCTCTGTTCCTAAATGCAGTTGGGCACGTGGGCCACTGAGCATCCCAATACATGAAAAATGTGTTTCTAGAAATGGCAACACAACAAAGATTAGCATGGTATTATTATACAATGTCAAATAAAATGCAAGAAAACAACTTAATTGTTATGCAGTGTGAAATCAAGCATAAGAAAGAACATCATGTAACTCAAATCGATGAAGATGCTAAAGGTCAAAGGGTAAGCATACTCAATATCATGTGGCATCGGGATGGATTTGATAATGGTGTTAGAAGGTTCAAAACTCAAATCTACGCAACCATGTAAACAATTTAATGCTGTAGGTATTTGATGATCAACGTGTTGTCATATTTTGTCCTTAATGTCGAGATCTTCTGTAGAGCTGACACCATAGATGTCATTAAATCAAATCTCATCCGCTATAATGCCGTTAGTGACATCACCTTTAGTGACATGGTGGCACAAACAGTCAGTGGAGGGACAACATAGTAGTATGCAGTGCCTACCTTGCTGCGCCAACAACCGAGAGTGAGATGGACAGACCAATCCCGAGGCAGCACCACATGTACGGCGATATTCCTTCCAAGAGCCTATAGAGCAATGAGCACTCGGTGAATGAAAAGACAGAGGTACACAATGCAAGGCACAGTGCAAAAGCACGGGAGAGCATACTTAGTAACTGCTGTGGCTTATGTCGTTAAAAAAACATACGTCCTTGAAAAAACACCTCCTTCAGGTGCACTGGGTATGAATGAGTTGCATTCACGCACCACGATTCCAAGGCACTCGATGTTACATTCCAAGAAAGAAAAAAAGCAGTGTGCTAGTTTATGCGAGTTTCAGTAATTAAGTGTAGTTAGCAGGTACTTAAACTCTTCAATATTCTGCAGTCAGTTGTGTGCCATTTTCTCATAAAAAGAATAAAATCAGGCTCCAAGTGTGCGCACAATTAATCTCCAGTTGCATTAGTTTCAACAAATGAAAAGTAATAGTTTTGAAGTTGGTTCTGGGACACAACAGGTGCAATCATCCGTCGAACATCGCGATGCCCTCATAAAAGTGATCGACTAAAGACATACGCAGCACGACTTTTAGTGAATTCATACAGGCCATGGAGAAAGTTCATTTCATTCTATGAGCAATTTATCTTGCTCTCTTTTCGCCCTTTCCTAGTTTTGCAGAACCACAATTGATGCACGAGGATAAGCTCACTTAGAGCCACGTAACACCACACCACAAAGGCGTGTCTTTTAGGTATATCACAGTTGAAGAAAATGTACACTCGCCAACTGTAAAAGAACACGAAACAACATAACTGGTGTTTCAGCAGTCAACACGAGTGCCTTGTTCACAATGAACGAATCCACAGTGCTCGTTATGCATCAAAAGATGCAATTTTCTTGCATGTATCTCAGGGAGTGAACCCCATGTCTGATTAATCGTGTTAGGAGTAAATTGTATGCGGATTGATTCGGCGACCAGGCAGAGTGATAACAGCTGAATTTATTCTCAAACAAACAGAGCCACCAGAGATAACGTTCAAATATTCGATGCCGCATGCATAAATGCAGACGCACCTAGCCACAGATCAGTATATCGACAGTTGATGCTCTCTCTGCCGCCATCAGTGCACGCTGTGCATTGCTGTAGTTCGACCTCTAGTCTCCCGGCCACAGGATCGGCCAAATAAAGAGTTTCATCTTGGAAACGCTGACTTCTGCCTTCATCAACATCATGACCCCATAACAATATTTTGCGTTAACTGGAACTATTTGTCAAACTTTCACAACACAGTATGCATGTGAAAAAAAGAACGCTACAGCCTACTACCCAATGCTGGCACAGCAGACAGCTATTGGCAGACTGAGTGGAAGTCATAATAACTGATCTTACCCCTAATTCAAAGACCAGTGGCTTATAGATAAGCAGGTGGGAAAATGATTACAGATGCCACAAAATATTCTAAGGCACACAATATTACATTCCAGTAAAGAAATTGACGCAATTGGTTGTTTGGCGTGAGTTTCAGTCATTAAATGTAATTAGAATAGAATAAAATACTCTATATCCAGTAATGTACAATTTTGATTGATATGTGGGATTTAGCGTCCGAAAACCACACTATGATTATGAGAGGCGCCGTAGTGGAGGGCTCCGGAAATTTTGACCACCTGGAATTCTTTAACGCGCACCCAAACCTGCGCACACCGGCCTACAGCATTTTCGCCTTCATCGAAAATGCAGCCGCCGCAGCCGGGATTCCATCCCGCGACCTGCGGGTCAGCAGCCGAGTACCTTAGCCACTAGACCACCGCGGCGGGGCAATGTACAATTTTGACATATAAAGTATGAAAACAGGCCCCGAATGTATGCGCAATTGGTTTTAGGTTACCTTCATTTGGATGAAAAAAAATAATAACGTTTGACGTTGGTTGTGGAACGCGGCAGGTCGACTGACCCGTCGAACATCGTAGTGCCTTCACCAAAACTGATCGGCTAGTCATAAGCAGCATACTGTGGCTAAGTTAAGATATACTGACTATAGAAATGGTTCAGTTAATTCAATGACCAACGTATCTAGCTCCCTTTTTGGCATGTTTGACACAACTAGCTTAAACAGGTTGAGTACACAAACGCCGCTGAATGGAATAATGTATACCTGAATGTAGTAAAGACTCACACTACGCAAACAGAAAGCAACTTACCATCCGAAATCTAGCCTCGAGCCTTTTCCCGAGAGGATGTAGTACAGGGCTGAAAGAGAAAGATAAGGAGCGACATTAGCAAGGTAGAAGCTCATCTTGCGTGCGCATTGAGTAAGGCCCGGCTGCTGCAGCGCCAAAAAGAAAAAAAAAAAGCCGAAACTACGCAAGATAGATTGCTCGACTAGTAACAATATGCGGGAAAAACTCCGCCCAACAACCAGCACTTTCACAGAGCAAGCTTCAGGTGGGTATATGTTCGCAGGCTGAAGAAACTACCTTACCAACGCACAGGATCACAAAGCTGGTTATGCTGTAAACAGTGTACTGAGCTCTCGCTAGCAGGCCCATGCTGTTTTACTAGGTTCTTGAAATTTCTTCCACAAAACAGACTGTCTATGCAGCTGAAGCGATGAGAACAGCCCGGCTTTGAAACGTCGGGGTCAGCCCCACATCAATCGAGCGAGTCTCATGACATTCGCAACGAGTAAAACGCGATGCGTATCGAAACGGAAGTAGTTGAGAGTTATTTTGGTACGTTGATCTCCGAATATGCGCACGAGGCGTGTATTGAGTGTACAGTAAAACATTTGTTCGTATTTATTAATTATAAAACCTTTTGCTAACAGACGGAACAAATGAATAAATGTTCTCTGACCGCCGCTCGGCTGCTTCGCCGGCCGAAGCACATCCGCGCATCGTTTTTGGGCGGCCATGATGCATTGTACGAGCGAGTGTCCGGAGTAAGTCGGAGAAGTGAGATCGCAGTAACGTGTGCGTCTCTGAAGAACTACAGCGAGATCGTGGTGAAAGTAAGTCGCAGTTCTTTCGTCTAGAAGCGCGAGGCCGCGACGAAAGTGTGCTCGTCGTATCGTCACCCAGCGCTCGTGCACGCAGCATGGTGAAGCGCAAGAACCGGGTGGTGTTGGAGTCCAGTAGCGGTGAGAGTGACAGCCCGGACGACTTGGACGGCGAGTTGCTTCTACTCGCTAAGAAGAAGAGGTGTGAGTCGGAGAGCTCGCCGCTGAAGTCTCAAGCAGCCGACGAGGTCTCCAAACCTGGCGGCGCGACCGCGTACAGCGACTCGGAGACGTCCGAGAGCGACGACGACTGGACCGTGGACGGCAAAGGTGGCGGAGCCAAGGCACGCAGCAAAGGCAAGCTGTCCAAGAAGACGGCGCGGAAGAACCGCTCGTCCGGCAGCGAGGCGGAGAACAAGAGCGACGCGTCGTCGTCGTCTGAGCCCGAGGAAGGCGAAGTCTCGGACTCCGGCGGTGGTTCCTCGGCGCCGGCCGGCGGCAGTGGCAGCGATGACGACGATGAGGACGATCTCGAGGAAGAGGAGTTCAACGATGGCTACGACGAGAACCTAATGGGGGACGAGGAAGACCAGGCGCGGCTGGCACAGATGACGGAGAAAGAGCGCGAGCAGGAGCTCTTCAATCGCATCGAGAAGAGAGAAGTGCTAAAGACGCGGTTCGAGATCGAAAAGAAGCTGAGGTTAGCCAAGAGGAACGAGCAGAAGCGCAAGGCCAAGAAGGAGGAAGGCAGCTCCGCCAGCAACAAAGGCGGTGAAGGCGTGCCGGCCAGCTCCAGGTGCAAGGAGAGGCGACGCATGGTGGAGGAACGAAAAGACAGGTTGGACAAGAAGGCGCAGGCCATCAAGGACCTAAAAGCCGAACGCGAGAAAAAGCGCAAGCAGCTTCAGGAACAAATGCTGAAGGAAGAGGAGGAGAAGCGCAAGTCGCAGGAAGAAGAGGAAGCCCAGGCCCAAACATCCAGGAAGCTCAAAGCCAGTGACATCTACTCGGACGACGACGACGACGATGCTTCGGACCGGGATGACGAGCAGGACGATCAGGCCGGAGGCGACACCTCAGAGCGCCGACACTCTTCCTCTTCATCTTCCTCCTCCTCCGAGGACGAAGAGCCGAAACCACAAGTAGCCGCGACGAAGGAAGAGGTCGGCAAAATACGACTGTCGCGTCACAAACTGGAACGTTGGGTGCACGCACCATTTTTTGCAAAGACTGTAATTGGTTGCTTTGTTCGTATCGGCATTGGCTCAAACAATGGTCGTGCCGTGTACAGGGTAGCGCAGATTACCGATGTGGTTGAAACTGCTAAAGTGTACGTCCTAGGTCGTTGCCGTACCAACAAGGGTTTACGCCTGAAGCACGGTAAGCAGGAAAGGGTGTTTCGACTGGAATTTGTCTCCAACCAGGACTTCACTGAATCTGAGTTCTTGAAGTGGAAGGAAGTGATGGCTCTCGAGGGGGCTTCTTTCCCTACTGCTGAAGAGGTCACACGAAAGGTTAAGGACATCCAAGACGCACTCAACTACCAGTACAAGGAGTCGGATGTGGAGACGATTGTGAGTGAGAAGCAGCGTTTTCAGCGCAATCCACACAACTATGCAGTGCGGAAGACTCAGCTTATGAAACAGAAGGAGATGGCCGAGCAGAAAGGAGATCACGAAGAAGCACAGAGGTTATCCGGAGAGTTGGAGCAGCTCGAGGAGCGTGCCCGCGAGTTGGACAAGCAGCGCACGAGCACAATCAGCGCCATCAGCTACATCAATGAACGAAACCGGATGAAGAACATAGTTGAGATTGAACGAGCAATTCTGGAAGAAGCCAAGTTAAATAAGGAAAAAGCGGATGACCCTTTCACAAGACGAAAATGTGCTCCTAGTCTCGTTACGAAAAAGGGGCCGGCAGAGCCCAAGGTGGCCATGCCTGTGCCCGTGAAAAAGCCGGAACAACCAGTCGTTAGTCCGGCTGCTGTCGAACCAACCCGTAAGCAACAAGATCAGCAACCTCATCGGAACGAAGAAGACATGTTCTCCGCTCATGACTTCGACATAAAAATTGACTTGGATATTTCTGTCTCAACGGCACCTTCGGCTGTGGCGAGGCCATCATCGGGTGCAAGGGCGGCCGTTCCCAAACGTTCACTTAACCTTGAAGAATATAAAAAACTGCGGGGACTTATATGACCCTTTCTGCATTGGCGGCCTTTCCTATGGCCGGCAACTGTGTGTGCCGTCATTTATGTCACTACGCTAAGCTATCATCTCTATCGGCCTTACGGTAGCCATGTGCATATTGCTTGGGCACGGGCGCTCTTGTGTTGAGAATTGGGCCACTTGATTGCCAAACAGCTAATTTTTATGCTTATGCAAGCATAGTTTTCTTTGGAGGGATTGTTGTTAGCATCTGCTTGTGTAAAATGTGTTTTTACACCTGTATCCTATGAAGTCTTATTCTTCATTGCTAGTGGTGGCATGTCTTTAAGCACACTGCGCAGTTTTGACTGTTGTACATGTACACTGAAGGCACGTGAGAGATAGATTGGACAGCAGACCACTGTTGCTTGATGCAGCATCCAATGCAAATATGTACAGTCAGGACTGCGTTGTGAAAACCATGAGATCGAGCGCTACTGTAGTGTAACTATGTTTGTGAAGAATCAGCCATTGTGTAGCAACAATCGTTTAATTAATATGCTAAAAAGATTGTGTAAATGAGAATCTTTAGGTGTGGTTTGCCTCTTTACATGTAACCACCATAGGCACTGTACATATTCATTAAACTGTACGAAATGTGGCATCTTGCCAGAGCATGACCAGAGCATGATGGCACCTGGCCTTATACACTTAGTGTCTTGTTTGTTTTCATCTTTCATCAATGTGTAGACTAGACTAAACACTCAATGCCGCAATAAAGCAAAACATGACTTATCCATCTATTTTGTATTATCCGAATAATTAGGCAAATATGGGCCCAATAGTACAGCTTTATGTTAAATTTACACAAATTAGGTACTTCCAAGCCCGTTGTGCTTACTTTATCGTTATGCACCCTGACCCAGATCAAGCATTGCTAGCAGAAAGACTTGAAACATTGCTTGCCTTTAAGAGTACAATGGGATAGCGAAATCTGGGCCCCATGCGTTTTGCCTTTAGCCATGTCGCAAGAACTCTTGTTCATGTAACATTGGCCGTTGGAAACTATTGTAGAAAGTCTACTGTACTACCGTTGCTAAGTGCCCACAACGACATAGTTCTTTCTTGTGCTAATTGGCACCCACTATTCGGTCGTATATGGTGCCACGTGCAGTTGCGCAGCTGCACACATTACAATGGGTTGGCAACTTGAAACTACCTACTTGTCGCGCTGTTCACTGGTTTTGACGCTTGATGCGATTCTGCGATTCTTCCGCACAATATTACCTGCGCTAAGAAGACTCCTTTCACAACATGACAAAGCAGTTCCAGGCAATGATGTTGGTCTGTGGTAAACATCTGCTTGCCACGCACATGGCCTGGGTTCAATTCATGCTGCGAAACCTAATTATTATTATATTTGTATCCATAGGTCGGCAAAACTTGTGGAGCTCACCCAGACTCATCCATAAAATATATTTTTAGCTTTAGCCAGACTCACTCGGGCTGGGACTCGTAGAAATTTTCTTCAGCTGGACTCACTCAGACTAAAGCTTGCCAAAACATTACTCACTCAGACTCGAATTTATTGTTCGATCTTAGTCTCAGTGAGCCCGAGTGACTCCAGCAGGCTAGAAACATCTTCGACTGTGGTGTCAATGCTGTTTGACATCAATACGTTTCGTAATGGGGGCTCTTCTTGGTGCTGTTTGACAGAGTATACTTGAATGTTGGGTCTGAGCGCTTCCTAGCTAGTAAGGTCATTTCTTGTGTAAAAGATGACAGCATAAGATATAACAATCAAGAAATTCCCCGGAAGAGTTGGGGGGGGGGTCAAGGCATCCTAATAGGTTATTAAAGCCTCTAATTAATAAATATTCAAACGGTGTATGAAAGACACTGCTTTGGAATACCTGTGAGTAGACGAGAGTATAAACGTGAATCCAGGTAAGGCTGATAGTAATGCTGAAAGAGACTAGATAAGACCTTAGGTCGACAAAAGAAAGTGGAATTCACTCACGAAAATTTTCTTCGACCGGACTCGCAAAAATATTACTCAAACTCGCTGCTCGATCCGAGTTCGCCGACCTATGTTTGCATCTAACTCGATTTTTCAGTCGCGTACAACATGATGGTTTTATGCTAAAAATGTATTAATATGTAATTTAGTGGCAATCGTGTGGGCAAAGTACCGCATCGGCTTGCAAAAGCAGCTGAAATTTCTAGTGATTGTCTCCCAGAAGGAGGCAGTGAGATGCATGTCCAGCTCCATCAGCTTACGCATGCTGGCTGCAGTGCACACAGCTTGGAGATTTCTGCGAAAGCTCGTAAAAATAGCTCGGTAAACGTGGCCATGCAGCAAGAAAACAAGGCATTAAAAGAAGAAAGTAAAAATCGCCCAAATTTGCACTGTACAAGCCTGGAAACAGCAAAATTAGGTGATTGTGAATCTCTGCAGCTCCTAGGTAGGCCTTACCTGCAGGTTGCTGTTAGGTCGTTGCTGGGCTCGGTGAATCGAGCTTGATTCTCGGCACGGAGAGGTTCGAGTCACAGACATGAGATGGGCACGCTCCGGGGTCTTCTCACAGCCACTGTTGCTTTTCTTGTTTTGTAGTATTTTGTCGGTGCATGTACCTGGGGTATTGGCTCAGTGCCGTCGCTTCACAGCCATTTCTAGTTGGGCTTCCTGTTGCCTCCTTCATTTCTAGTGGAAGTTGTGTAAAGTGGGGTTTAGCCAATTTCTGTGGCACTTATTTACGATAATAGTTTTATCAAAGTCCGCAAAACATTCAGTGGCACATACTGGTTTTTGTAATAACAGTTGCCTTCTTCATTTTTAGTAGATCAGTTTGTTTAATGCCTGTAAATACTGGCACATACCCACTCTGGGGAATTGTCCATGAAAGCTTGTGGCGTATATGTGATGCACTGATTGAGAGCCCATTGTTAAAAGAACAAAAATAATAAATAATAAAATAAATTATAATCAACTAAAAATATTAAAATAAAGATGAATCAATAACAAAAAAAGAGCTAAAACTACATTAGAAGACAAATTTTGAGTAAACCAGACAGTTGAGTTTATCTCATCTGGTCAAAATCGAATGAATGTGCGACTTTCATTCACATTATCAATCATATCACAAGTATTCGTCAAGAATATATTTAAGCAGGCGTTATATTTACATGCGCTTAGAATCCCGAATAAAATTGCATACAATATCAAATACGTTTCTGTGGCAATGTCCCGAGCCAGTGGCGCCGTCTGAGAACATTGTCTGCAGTTAAATTTAAGCCTACTGTGGAAAACGGAACTTCTAGAAGTCTTTTTCTCATGAATGAATGGTTTATATTATTTTTAGTTATAAAGTACTGCAGGCCATAAAAATGGCCCAACAGGAGTTGGAGGTGGTACAATGATAATGATATGACCAATTAATATGTGTACAGGTGTAGAGAAAGAAGAAAAAACAAAGAAAACAACAATGACAGAAAAAATAACTCAGACAGGTGTACAATATATTCGCGGTTTACATAACTTGCACTTCAAAGTAATTTTCTAGAGATTTTAGTACATTTGCAAACTTAATATGGTGCAGCAGTTCATTCCAGTCTGTTATTGTGAGAGGGAAAAAAGAGTACTTGAAGTTGCTAGGGCGCGCAAAGGCAGGTGTGAATTTGTAAGAATGGTATCCTCTAGTAGGACGTGAAGATAACGGAGTGAGGACGTGCGAAAGGTCTATGATAGTGTTTTTCTTAGATAGGTGAAAAAGAAATTTAGATTTAGCTAGTTTCCTTTGGGATTCTAAAATTGACATTTTGTTAATTGTTATTAGTTTTGTTGGAGAGTCAGACTGGCGGAAGTAATTGTAAATAAATCAAACAGCTAATCTTTGGACTTTCTCAAGAATATAATATATTTTTTAGTGTGTGTATCCCAGACTTGAGACGCCTACTCTGAACAAGGCCGGACTATTGTGTTAAAAGCTAGGAGTTTAGTTTTAGGGGGTTAGCTTTTGAGAGTGTGCTTTAGTAACCCTAATTTTCTACGGGCTGATGAGCAAATTTTTTCAATGTGGCAGGACCAATTAAGTTGTTGGTGATTGTGATGCCAAGATATTTATAACTTTGTGTAAGTAAAATTGGAGTTCATTTAATACTGTACGAGTAAATTAGGGGCTGTTTTTTGTTAGTAATGCGCATAGATACAGTTTTCTCTGGGTTTATGTGCATGTCCCAGCACTCACACCAGGTATTAACTGCATCAACACAATGGTTCAATAACACTTGGTCATCTGTGGATTTCACTGAACTAAACAAAAGGCAGTCATTGGCAAACAGCCGCATTTCAACACCATATTTAGCACAGGATGTAATATTATTGATTAGATTGAAAATAGTAGTGGTCCCAGGATGCTACCCTGGGGAACTCCGGAGTTAACGGGAAGAGAATTGGAGTAGGTACCGTTAATATCAACAAACTGTGTGCGAGAAGACAGATACGATGTTACCTATTTAACAATGGTCGAGGGAAAACCAAGCAAGTTAAGTTTGTGAATTAATTTGGAGTGGGGTATTTTATCAAATGCCTTGCTGAGGTCAAGGAAGATGATGTCAGTTTGACCGGATTTATCTAGGACTGAGGAGAAAGAATGTATTGTTATGACCATCATCAGTAGTTGCCAGGCTGTCGCTGAGAAATGTAGCCGGACAGTGCTCCCACGCCTGGAACCGCAGTTCTCTTGGAAACAGTTCCGCGGCGGGGAGCGACAAAGGGATTAGAAGACGGTTCGTGAGCCAACGTCCCCACAAGCCATTCCTCCGGGCCGGCTTGTTTAGTGAGACGGAGAAGCAGACCGACCGCACAGGTCGTGCCTCCGCGATTCAAGTGTCTACTCCTTGGCTGCCCTTCCAGGGAAAGACGGAAGAAGCAATTTAACCGCCAAATTGTTCCGGGAGAGAACCCCATTTCCCCTATCTTCAGAGCATTGCGTCAAGAGGGGCAATAACTATTCGGTGGACCATGTGATACTGAATTATGCCCTGTGGGCGGTGTCTAGTGTGTGTGTGTGATTGACGTTCCAATTACGAAGGAGGAGCCCGACAGGGTTTAAAACGACGCTGCAGAGTGCTGCACGTGGCTCTGAACCATGTAACGGTTCAACCACCACGTTCGTGGTTTGTGAACTCCTTACCTCATGCTGTAAATAATTGTAAATAGTGCCATAAACCTGTTTGTTTTTCGTATCTCCATTTTGTCAGCATTCGTTTCCTCAACCCGAAGCTACACCACGCTACCACAAAAGACCGGGCAGACCCCGGTCCGCAACAACAGGTGCTCAGCGCTGGGATTCGGAGCGACTACTGGAGAACAGCGCCCAGAGCCGCAACAGTATACAGGAAACTAATTGGGTTGTCATGGATAGACCTTTACGGAAACCGTGTTGGAATGGTGATAATACGTCGTGCTCGTTCAGAAAATTAATCATATAGTTGGTAATTATGTGCTCTAGAAGTTTACAACAAGTGCTAGTGAGTGATATTGGTCTGTAGCTAGACAAAAAAGTGTTATTCCTTTTTTAAGTACCGGAATTATTTGAGTGATGCGCCAGTCTAAGGTAACGATACCTTGAGATAGCGATAAACGAAAGATTAGTACAAGAAAGTGAGAAAGCGAATCAGCGTAACGATGTAAAAAAGTATTTGGCAGGTTGTCCGGACCACAAGAAGATTTTGTTTTAAGGTTCAGAAGCATGGAAAAGACACGTTCAAACGTTATGAAGTCAGGATCAATTTTTA